AGCTGAAACATCAATTTGATTGATTACGCTCAATTGTCCCATCCACCAGTCAGCAGTCCTCTGGTCCCTGGTACATTATATTTTAAGCTCAATAGAGAGCCGCTTTATTCCCAATACAGCCCAACCAAACTGCTGCTACACAACCTGACTCAGCCAAAACCACACAGTAACAATCAGATCTTGCAGGCTTATTGACAATCCATCTCCATGCATTAATCTGTGCTTTTCTTTGTGTGTTTTCCTTGTGATTGGCATCTGAAAAATAGGCCTGATTTCTCTGTCTATTAATTCCGCTGCATTTACTATCTGTGCTATATATTCTCAGTGGGAAGGCTGTCGTAAAAAGGGATGCTGATGAAGATGTTGTCAGCATTTTACAGTACTGACCTACTGTTCAAATTTTCAGTTCAGTTTTATTGTGAATCATCACTGGCTGTGGTGCCTTCTTATGTTTGTTGCTTAAAGGTGCCTATTGTTTTTTCATTTTAAACAACTACATTTCATTTTGCATAATAATGATTAATTATTTGAGTAATATATTTAATATAAAACATCATTATATTTTTTTCAAGCACATTAGATACACATATTGCCTAAAAAAAAAGTGCTTATCCACGTGTCTATCTGTCTGTCTGCAGCTAATCTTGTATAATACTGGACCAATCATCAGTTACCTTTTGTGCCCATTCATGACTGTAGCTCAAGGACCTCTCATGGTTGTGGTTATTCATAATTGTTGAAAAACCTTATTTAACCTTATTCACTCTGTTTTATACCCTCATTGACTGCTGAGTTCTCACCCAATCACAACTGGCTGGTGGGAGCTGTAAGTAATCAACAAAATCACATATCAAAAGGCATTGCTGATAATTGGCTAGGTTGAAAACAAGCCTTACCCAGCCTGTTGCAGACCACATTTGGTCTTAGTGTGGGAATGACATCCATAGAAAAGTTTGGTCTCATTTTGGAACTAGAGCATGTGCAGATTAATTTCATACCCGATATGTAATGATGCACATAAATTAGGCACTGCCATCTTGACTGTAAAGGAGCCAGAAGGGACAACTGAGTGAGATTCAACACCTCTTGGTTTTGGAGAGGGAGGTTTGGAGGGATTATATTGGACATTTGGTCTGAGGTTTGTCTCCATATAGCCTGTGGCTACACTTTGATAAATTAACCTACAGTCATGCTTATTCGCTGGACACACAGCCTGCCCTCTCCTCCCTGTACCACACCCACTAGACCCCAGACACACATGGCCGAGATCTGCCCTCTGCTGAGTGCGCTTTTCTTCTTAGAAATGTATATCCCCCCATTCTTGTGGTGTGTGTGTGGGGTGATCTTCTCTGTTTTTACATATGAGTTGCATGGTGGAAAAGCAATAAGAGGGCTTTCTCTCTTTTACAATATTGCAAAATTATTAAGCTATTTTTACTACCATCTTTACACCACAGCTAGTAACATTCCACCTCATAATACATTCTCGCAGTTTACCCCATACAGTAATGGCCTCTGTCTAAGATGCCTGATCGTGTCCCAGAAACATTATCGACAGCACACTTTACAACTCAGCACCAGCCTCTCACTATTAAGGCTGAGGAGGTGAACAGTGCAGGTAATACAAGAAACTGGACCCTAATAGACATAAACAGGCGAGATTGCCCACAGGGATATAGAAATAAGAAAAAGATGGAATCACTTGGGAGGATTCTGAATCTGTGGGATAATTCATTGATGGAACCATCTAGTTTCCTGTTCCCTTGTGTGCAGCCTTGAGTATTAGTGTGTCTCTTCTTATGTCCTACTTTTCTCTACTGTATCTGACCCTGAAAGAAGCTCACTTTTTGGACCAGCTGCAAGTGTATCTGTTGTAGAATTAAATGAGGACAGTTCACTCATTATTGAAGAGAAGGCACCGCATGTTGCCATAGCATTGATTCTAAAAGTAACCTGTAAGCAAGCTGTTGAATCATTGTCCTACTTTTGCTTGTAGGAAAAGAAAAGGTTTGATTAGATTTGATTAAGCACTGAGGCATTCCCTGACAGCTCAAACCACACTGCTAAGAAACTGTCAGTGATGGTTACATGTATGTTCTGCAGTTATTTTATACCTTAAGTGTCAAACTATATGATCCAAGATTTACTGTGCTCTAGATAAATGTTTAACTTTACTAAGAGTTAAATGTTCCCTCAATAAATGAGGGCATGTGTATGCCACTTAATGTGACTGACTATGCCCAGAATAGCCAAATGTATACATGAGAGAGAGCAATGCACTGGCTGCCCCCTCCTCTCAAACTCCTCTCTCACTTACACCAGATATTGACGTAGTTTTGGACCTCCAAGACAGACTGTTTTGTATGTTGTAAAAAAGCTGAACTTTGAGCTTTCAGCCGAGGTAATTTATCTTCTGAGTTGGGTTCAGTGCCTATATCAGCAGCTCCTCCGCTAGCTGAGGCTGCTAATTAATCTCCTAGGGGGCCAGAGCAGACATGCTGCTCTCAGGATGATGCATGAAAGGAACACAGTAGCACAGGTACAGCTGAGGCTGGACACCAGTGCCCCACTGCTTTCCCCCCATCCCGCCTTCTACCTCACTTATTCTGTCATTCCCTCCTAACTGACATTTGTATCTCCCTGTCATTATTTCCCTTCTCTCTCTTTCCCTCCCTTTGTCATTTCACCTTGTCTTCTCTCATTCATGTGTTCCATTAGCTCTAAAATATCTCATCCTCTCTGTCTTCCCCTCTCCTCCAGTTTTCTCCCTCCATCTCTATTAAAACAATTCTGTGGAGGACTTACAGCTGTTAATCAGCCTGAGCTCTAAGACGAGCCATCTCTGCAGTGACCTAAATATGTGTGGGTACATTGTAGGAGCTGAGCTTTTGTACCTCCTATTAATGAAGCCACTGCCATATACCAAAAATACATCACAGCAGAACAAGTAACCTAGATGCACAAAATCTTTGTGATAATATTTTCCTCTGACTCATAAATGGCCCTGTAGTGTGATGTTAAAACTGCATTGTGCAGACATCAGCATGTTTGTTGTTGTTATATCCTTTAGTTATATTGTGATGTTAACTGTCAATCTGAGGTCTGGCATTTGGCATTTTCTTCTTATAGCCTGAGCCATCTACCATGTCTGTTCAAGTATCTGTGTGTTCTGGTGCATTTATTTTACAGCTTTGAGACTAACACTGCTGGCATTTAAACTAATGGCTAAGTTTAATCATAATGTATTATACTTAAAGCCTTCATCCAATAGTAAGATGCTATAGGATGCACCAATTTACTCTATACAGTGCGTCATGTAAATGCAACAAAGGGCTTTGGTTTGCAGAGGTAGGGTATCTGTTTCTGTGGATACTGTACATCCTGTCCCAGATGCTGTGCACCTGCAGCATAATCTAAACACATTAGGTCAGCATTAAACATGAGACCGTTTTGGCTGCATTTTGTCATCATGTAGATGTAGTAGCCTTAAGCCTTGCAGTTGACTGAGAGTGAAGCAAAGTAGTAAAATGTGAGCTAGCTTTTTTGCCTTTAATATGTATTTAATATTTCACTGTCAGGCTTTACAGTGGCAGAGCTGACAGCCGCTAAAGACAAGGGTATGCTTACTATTTTTTACTTTTTTTTTTTTTTTTTTTTTTAATCAAAAGCAATTTAGTTCCCTCAACACATTTTTAAGATATTGCTCTCTGTACCTACTTCACTGTGCACAGAAATGAAGTATACTTTTCATGGTATTTGAATCACAGGTTAATCTTAGACTCAATCTGTATCTGAAATGGTTCTATTGAAAGTGTCGTGTTAGAATTACTGATGACTTTATATTTATTCACGAGCTATAATGTGAATCAGTGTTAGTGGACTAAATCAATTTTTTTCACACAGAGCAGCACAAGATGTGTCTCTTAGCAGACACGGTGCTTTGTACTAAGAAATTAAGCAATGTTCTTGTTCTGAAGATGTTTTTTTCTATGTTGTGGTAATTATGCAGGAGCATAATTTAGCTTTGATCCAAGGAAAATGTAAGATCTACTGATGTTAACCCTGGGTATACATGTACAGTAACGCAGCAAGCTGTGGAAATGAAGATGAGTACATGTGTGGAAGCACAACTCTCTGTTCTTTGCTGATGTTGCTGCAAACTCAGTATTGCCAGATGAGAAACACTATTGTTGCTGCTGTTGAAAAGACTTCACTGAAGTGTAGTGATTCATTTTTGAACAGCTAAGAGCACACAATATCCTTTTTACAATGTCCTCTTTTTTAGCACTGTGGTAATATTCATGACCATGTTGTGTTGTTTTCTGATATATATTCCGTTAAACAGATCATGTCAGAATTCAGTATGAATAAAATTTAGCAGACCGCATGGAGGACAAACTATTTCACTGATGCATTTCAAGACAGCAGTTTAATGCTAAAAAGATACATTTTTGGGTGTAATATCACTTTAATACAGTACATACTTATACATATATATATCTCCATGAGCTCAGCTTCAAGCTGTTGATTCATCTTCTAAATGCTGCCGTGCTCCACCAGCTGCTCTTTGTTTTCTGCCTGCAGTGTGGCTCATGCTCCACAGCCATATGTCTCCTTTGCCTGAGTCTGAGCCTTGGACACAGTTGTATAGTTCTGTCCCACATTTCAGTAGAGTACATGCATGCCATATTTCTGAACTGGACTAAAAATGGATTTCCACACTGCATTTTTAGATTTTTGACTGCTGCTAAAAATATGACTTCCTCAAATAAAGCTGTCAGTCAAAGAGGAAGCCTGATGAGACATGCAGTGAGAAAAATATTGTGGTAGTCATGAAGCGTGAGCGTGATGTTTCTGCTCTTCAAAGGAATGGTTAAAAAGACGCTTATTTCCTCTTTCGGTATGAGAAGTAATCATACCAGGGTGACATGTTTGAGTGCAAATTTCACGCACAAGGGAAGTTTCTACATATCACACTAGTTTGTTGTGACTGTAAGAAAAAAATCAGCTGTGGTGATGTCAGTAGTTTCTATCAGGGTTTTTCATATGCACATATAAGGCTTGGCAGTATTTAGATCCCCTTTCTCTCTCTTGTTAGCTCTCCATCTGTTATACTTTCAGTGTTTGCACCACTGAGAGGCAGGAGGCAGCCAGGGGACACACTGTTCCAACTGTTATACCTCCTGCACTTCACATTTCAAATATGCCTCTCTTACCTCGTACCCTCCACTAAAGGTGTGAACCTTTTCAGTGAAGGTGTGAAATGAATGTCAGGACACAGTGTGTATACATGCTTGAATGTGAAGTCTTTTATTGTATGACACGTGAGTCATTATATCGTCAAGACTGAATCTAATTTCTCTTTAATTGCATTAACAAAGCATACAACATTTAAAACTGTATTGATAAAAAAAAATGTATTATACACTGAATCATAAGGTGTCTCTGGGAGAAGATGTTGAATCTGGTGACAAAAGGAGGACTAGAATCCTGCAGCTCTATGAAGCTTTTAGCCTCTTTAAGCTCTTTTATTTTTTTTATTTTACTTTTTTTTTTAAGTGTCACTGCTCGTATTTACCTCCATTCACAACATTTTTCCAGCAAAATAATCTGATAACTGGATTTCAGGCTACTTTCTTGTACCAAACATTACACAGACAAAATGAGCAACTAGCTGGTAAGGACAGATGAACATTCAGGAAGTTAAAGATTCCAGTGTATTATGATATTCTTCGGGGTTGGAGGAGACCAAAAAGAGCTAAAAAAAAAAAAAACAACCCAGTAAATCTTGGACTCACATTCTTCAGGTGAACACGGACATGACTACATTCTAATGTTGCTGCATTTCTGCTAGGTATTTAAGTATAGAAGTACAGTAGGTAACTGATGACTAGCATGTTAGCCTTAACTTTTTAAGGTGTCAAAGTGGCCAAAAGTCTATGAATGCAGCTTTAGTGAGTTGTAAAGTGAGACTAGAAGCTCAGAGGTGATATTATATCCTATTTTGTAATTAAAGCTATTTCCCTTTACAATGCTCATCAGATTTGAGCCAGACACAAGAGGGGAAACTGCACTTCCAGACTGCAGGACTGGCCTGTATCAAGGTAGGCAGCAGGGAATGTAAACTAAGAGAAGAGAGAGCACGATTGCCTACGTTTGCGCGTGTAGTGGTGCGTGTCCTGGTGTGTCCGCATTTAAGTGCTCAAAGTGTGTTTGCTTGCATCCGTGCATGTGAGTGCCAGGGTTAGAGTCCTCCATTAAGCTGTGTTTACAGTGTGTAGGGCCAGAGTCGCTCTCTGACGCTTGGCCCGGGCTGGGATCATCAATCAGAAAGACTTCCGAAGGCTTCCGGCTGTGATCCCTGCTGCCTGCCAGACGGACCTTACATATGACTTCTGGGATATTACACTCTTTTGTTGTTGTAGTAGAATTGGCAGGGTTGTTCAGATTCCTGACTTCTGAGGTTTGTCATAGTTAGTCTAGGTATGTTGCACTGTGTGCTTTAATGTTAGTTTGTACTAGTCATGCTTTTGGGAAATTGGAGAGATCCCCACATGGCCTAAAATGTTGAGCTTGATTCCTACTTTTCTTCAGGCAAAGTTTTGAACTTCTTTGAAATGCTCAATGTTTAATAACTGGGTTTTTAATTTGTTGATAATATTAAGTATCTGGCAATTAAACGTGTTCTGGTTGTTTCCATGTGATGTACAAGCTATTTTCAGAATCCACCTGCAGTTTTGAACAGATGTAACTACAATTAACCATAATTATTTTTCTTCGACCGTTATGTGTTAGGTGTCAGGTATATCACACCGATGCCTGTATCTCTCTCTGTTATTGTACAGAGGATGGGTAAGAATAAACTGCAAAAGTGCAAAAGTTGAAACAAACAACACGTGCCCAACGTGGTGTTACAGTCAATGCCTCGTGAATCTACTGTCACCACGTTTGCAATGACACATTAGCTGGGACTTAGACAGAGGAGAGATGAACATTTTCTTAGGTGCTTCTGGTTATCATTTTGGCCAAACAAGGCTGGCTTGGACAAAAGGCAGTTCATAGAAAAGGATGTGGAAAAAATCTTCTTTTGCTATTTAATTTTCATCAGGTACTGATAATTTATTGTTGTTGGCTGGCTGACAAAGAATTAGCAGGCAGAAGATTGTGTAACTCGAGGAGCCCAGTGAAAGATTTATAACTACACAATTGTCTTATTAAATCTTAGACATCCTCATAGTTTTATTACTAATGGTAGATCATAAAAACTTAGTCAAAACAATGAAAGTGTGTTGAGGTTATGATTAAGATATAGGTATTTTAAAGTAGCAATGAAAACCTTTGATAATGATAATAAATCCATCTTTATAGTGGAATATCATTAAACAGAAAACCTGTTAGAGACACCATCCAGAAATTTACCAATTAGCACTTCACACACAGTAGAGGAGAGGATAACAGGAATTGGGTTTTCAGTTCTTGGTCAAGTACCACCAAGTACTGGACAGATAAATTCAAATTTTGAACAGATGATGGCTCTGGATAAAAAGTTAAGGGCTCAACAAAATTATTACAATTCATCCTAGAGGGGAACATGAATATGGGTACCAAATATTTTGGAAACCCATCTGACAGATTGCCAGAGTTATTGGGATTCATTCTCTGGGGTCCATGAATATCCGCATTTTACCCAGTAGTTGTAAAGACATGTCACTAAAACTCAACAATGTCAATCTGATGGTGCTACAAGAAAGGTCACAGGATCTCCAAAGTCAATTACCTTCATCCTCTGAGGGGCCATGACTGACTGTGCAAAATGCTATGGCAATCCAACCAATACTTGTCGAGATGTTTCAGTCTAGTGAGAGCAACACAATGACTCTGCCATCCCTAGAGCCACACTGCAAGTATCGCTATAACTTACAAAACATACATTATTCTCTCAACTTCTTTAAATGAGCCTTGTTTTTGATCCAGTAAAATCTAGACAATCTGTAGGTCAACGTGACTGTCTGAGTTAGCAGGAACCCTTAATGATATCCTTTCATAAAGAAAGACTGTAATAGGACCCATTATAGAAATGACCCAATTGTTTGTGTTGTAACTGTGTGTGTTTGTCCAGTTTCCCCCTAGCTGCAAATGTGAAGTGTTGTTTTTGACTGTGCTGACCTAGATGAAACCTGCAAAGGGACACCATGCATTAAGAGGCTTCTTCGTGGAAGTAGGTTGCAGTGTCTCTTAGGGTGGAACTTTTGCCTTGGCTATAACACCACAGGGAGCTTGCTATATTTATGATGATGCAGAGAAGGACCATAATTGTCCTGTACTGTGCCTATTCTGCCAGACACATGTTCAGAACAAAAGCACCACAGTTGGTTCTCTGGCAATGTGTCAAAGCAACACAGTTTCGCTTCGTTTTTTAACAAGCTGCAGTAGTAACAGTGGATAGAGGGGCTGAAGTTTAGTTTAAAGCTATACATTTGCTTTATGTGTTACTCACACCCTATGCCAGTAGCAGATTTATCAGTATTTCAGGGACCACCTATGAAGAATTCTTTTCTCTCAGCACCACTGTTGTAGCTTTCTGCTCTGGACTGTTTAAAATAGGCTGACCTCGGGTGTCCACAAATAGTAGAAATGGACTGAAAAAGGGTTCATGTTTAAAGAAGTTTGACTCTAATTCAAACAAAGAGTTGTCTGATTGTTTGAAAGTATGGTTTATGATTAATCAGGGGAAAACAAAGTTCTTGTAACACAACATACGTTATGTCACAGGGGTTGTGGAGAGAAGACGGATGAAGTCTTCATATGTAAATATGATCGTCCACTTCACACTCTCAGCAACTGTGTAAACAACCTGCAAAAGCAAAGTGAATTTCTCCGAATGCACACAGCACAGCTGTGTTATGGTGGTTAAAAATGACAGAAAAATAAACTAGCACAGTTTGGCACGTGAGCTTTGAGTGTCCGCCATGTGGCTGAGGCCCTCTCACCGTGGAGCAGGGCTGTTGGCAGACCTAATGACAGCTTGTTTTCACAGCCTTTGTGGATAAGATGGGGAGAGGGAGGGATGGTGGGACAGGGGATGGAGAGAAAGGAATAACAGTGGTGACTAGCACAAAAGAACCAACGCAGCAAGCAGAGGGATGAAAAGGAGAAAGCAAATGATAAAAGGAGAGGTTAAAAAAAATTGGTGAGAAAAGAAGTGGGGAGGGAGGGCTCAGTATCTCTGGGTAGAGCTTGTTCACCCGCAGAGCCAGCCGAGGTGCGCCTGAGCAGCCTGGCTCTCTGATTGGTGGCGCGCGATGCAGCTCTCTCCCCTCCCCCCCTGAAGAAAGAGGTGCAGTAGGAGCGTCAGACCCAGACAGCACAAGACTCAGCTACTGAAGCAACATTTATCTGAAGCTCTCCCTAAGATGCATTCTGCAGAGCATTTAAGGACAGACTAGATGATAGCACAGACCCAGTCTCCTACGACATAGAGTCTCCTACTACTGGACTTAGGAATTTATCAAACAGATTAGATTTGAATTGATTTCAAAACCTTTACCAGTAGGATCAGCTAGAAAAGGCAAAGCTGACGTCTAGTGCATTCGATTCACCGCATTGAGAAGGACGGCCACTGGTCACCATGGGCAGGCAGGGGCACGATACCTCTGCTGCGGCTCCTGGGATGCGGATCCAGCGCTCCCAGAGCAAGATGAGCCTGTCTGCATCATTTGAAGCACTGGCTGTCTATTTCCCCTGCATGAACTCCTTCGATGAGGAGGACGGAGGTAAGATGACATCTGGGGTAATGTCCCAGCAGTGGTTGCTGACTGGGGGTGCAGCAGAGCTGTTTAAACTGAGGGGTGGCAGACAGGGAGAAGATGGATTTAGGATTAGTGGGAAGATGCAGAGGTATTGATCACAGGGAGAGCTGGGGTGGGCTGAGAGATGTAATTAGTTTAATTAAGATGAGAGTGTACTTCAGTTAGGATAATAATGTGTTGTTTGTGCTGTGTGTACTATGTGCAACATCATGAATTAAAAGTTAATATCTATGCCTTTATCATTCAGGCCAGCAGTTTGTTGTGAAATATACAAACTGCTTCTGTTGCTACTGCTGCTGGTGGTGGTGTTAGCATGAACGGGGAACCAGTCAGCTGACATACTCCATTCATGCTAGTCAATATCTCCTTTCCCCTTGATGGTTTTAAATCTGACTGAATAAAAACAAAGGATTAAGTAGCTAGACTGAATCATTGTTTAATATCTTGTGGGCGGTAGTGTTTATTTAGCTTAAGAATACAACATGCTCTATGACTGTTGCTTCCTGAACAGTAGTGATGACGCCTACTGTATGTTTATATTTGTGCCTCTCATGATGCTTCTATCATTTGCTATTCTAGTGACAGGGGGATTTATTCACAGAGAAATAGAATAGGTCATGGATTTGCAATGCAGGACATTTATTCTTTTATACTTATCTCTTTTTTTTTTTTTTTTGGTTGCCTGACCATGCCAGCTTTATTTTAGCTACAGCTTCACTCACATACAGTCAGGTCCATAATTATTTGGACAATGATACAGTTGTCGTCATTTTGGCTCTGTACACCACCACAATGGGTTTTAAATGAAACAATGAATACCTGCTTAAAGTGCAGACTCTCAGCTTTCATTTAAGGCTTTTTTCAAAAATGTAGTATGAACCGTGTAGGAATTACAGCCATTTCTTCACGCAGTCCCCCAACTTTAAGGGCTCATAAGTATTTGGACAAACTAACATAATCATCAATTAAACAGTCAGTTTACATACTTGGTTGCAAATCCTTTACAGTCAATGACTGCCTGAAGTGTTGGACACATAGGCATCATCAGATGCTGGGTTTCTTCCCTGGTGATGCTCTGCCAGCCCTTTACTGCAGCCGTCTGCACTTCCTGCTTGTGTTTTGGGTGTTTTGCCCTCAGTTTTGGCTTCAGCAAGAGAAACGCATGCTCAGTTGGATTCAGGTCAGATGATATGACTTGGCCATTGCACAACATTCCACTTCTTTGCCTTAAAAATGTCTTTGGTTGCTTTTGCAGTATGCTTCAGGTCATTGTCCAACTGCACTGTGAAGCATCGTCCAATGAGTTTTGAAGCATTTGGTTGAATCTGAGCAGATAATGGTGCCCCAAACACTTCAGCTTTCATCCTGCTGCTCTTGTCAGCAGTCACATCATCAATAAATACAAGAGAACCAGTTCCACTGGCAGCCATACATGGCCATGACATAACAGTACCTCCACCATGCTTCACTGATGAGGTGGTGTGCTTTGGATCATGAGCAGTTCCTTCCTTTCTTCCTTCTCTTGTCTTCCCATCATTCTGGTAGTTGATCTTTGTTTTATCTGTCCATAGTATGCTGTTCCACAACTGTACAGGCTTTTTAGATGGTTTTTGACACACTCTAATCTGGCCTTCCATTTTTAAGGCTAACCAACGGTTTGCATCTTGTGATAAACCCTCTGTATTTATTCTAGTGAAGTCTTGTCTTGCTTACAAGAGCAGCAGGATGAAAGCTGAAGTGTTTAGGGCACCATTATCTGCTCAGATTCAATTAAATGCTTCAAAACTCATTGGACGATGCTTCACAGTGCAGTTGGACAATGACCTGAAGCATACTGCAAAAGCAACCAAAGACATTTTTAAGGCAAAGAAGTGGAATGTTGTGCAATGGCCAAGTCATATCATCTGACCTGAATCCAACTGAGCATGCGTTTCTCTTGCTGAAGCCAAAACTGAGGGCAAAACACCCAAAACACAAGCAGGAAGTGCAGACGGCTGCAGTAAAGGGCTGGCAGAGCATCACCAGGGAAGAAACCCAGCATCTGATGATGCCTATGTGTCCAACACTTCAGGTAGTCATTGACTGTAAAGGATTTGCAACCAAGTATGTAAACTGACTGTTTAATTGATGTTTATGTTAGTTTGTCCAAATACTTATGAGCCCTTAAAGTTGGGGGACTGTGTGAAGAAATGGTTGTAATTCCTACACGGTTCATACTACATTTTTGAAAAAAGCCTTAAATGAAAGCTGAGAGTCTGCACTTTAAGCAGGTATTCATTGTTTCATTTAAAACCCATTGTGGTGGTGTACAGAGCCAAAATGACGACAACTGTATCACTGTCCAAATAATTATGGACCTGACTGTATGTACTCACACTCCCACTGTTGGCTACCAAGCAGCTCGAATAGTCATTGTCTTTTCCTGTCTGGCAGGGCTCAGATTTGAGGGCAGAGACCTTCTGGTGACAAGCCAGCTTGTCTGACTTTTAGGCCCCTGCTGCTTCATGTTGCCAGATACTTTACAAAAGTGCTTGGCTGCACACCCTCCTATCTGTGTTGATAATACTCCCGTCTTTGGCACATTTACCTCATCTGCCACCACGTTAAATGCAGCTATAGGTGTATTTTGGGCCATAATATAGGTACATATGTATGTGAAATGTTTGTATGGGAATTTTGGAGTCTATACCACAGTGTGTTAATTGATCAATTCATTATAATTTGCAGTGAGAAAAAAATCAGCAGTCTTTAGTCGATGCAAGATCACCCATATCACAGTATGGGCTGTGTACCTGTGATTTTAATCAGCAGTATAAATGACAACGTGCATCTCGTAATTTGTGCAGCGCAGCAGGAAATCAGATTTCTCTTGCTGGCTGTGTTTTCAATGTTCATTGATAACATCCGGCTGGCCACTGATTGTCAGAGGTCTTTGAGCAGCAGTTTGCTACAGACGTCAGAGACGACCTCTGTGGCTTCGTCTCCTATTGTAAAGTGTGAAGAGCAGGAAGAGGAGGCGGCGGCTGAATAACCGAGATTTCAAGGCTGAAAGGATTCATGTCTGTTTATGCCTGTGTGTGTGTGTGTTAGATAGGCTCAGGTTCATCTCTCTCCTCCTCAGCCACGTCTCTGACGTGACAAGGAAGGAGAGAGGAGGAGAGTGAAGACAGCGGGCCAGTGATGATGCTGGATTAGAAATGCTGTAGTCTAGATGTGATTCATCCATCATTTTCATGGGAAATGATTAAGTGAAAATTGCATAAGGTCTATGGATAGCCCCTGTTTGTCCAGACTTTACACCTGGGGGCTGCAAACGGTGGAGTGACGGCAACTCTGTGTTATTACTTTCTTCTGGCTTTGCAGTGATGATATGGCCTCTGGGAAATAACATGATGCCCTCATTTTTCATTTGCACATACGAAAAAAGAAATTATATAACTATAATAGGTGCAATAATACTTCATTAAGTTGTAAAATTAGTCTTACTGTAGATCATCACGATGCTCTATTTCATGTTTAAGGTTAGAGATCATTGATATATTCCAGGTACTAACATACCAGTTTAACAGAGCTAAATGGCTAAATATCAAGTGAAGTATCTAATACTAACATACTGTGATTAATGTGTCTGATTTCATTTCTAAGCATGATTGCTGTATGATGATTTATGGAGGAAATGCCAGTCTTTCTCTTAACGGGTATTAAAATGAAACATAACTTGTGTAGCTGTGTGTTTGTGTGTGTGTGTGTGTGTGTGTGTGCGTGTGTGTGTGTGTGTGCTCGTTGCCAGGCGTGTGTCTATAGTGGTGGAGCATTCATACTTTTGTGTAGGTACAGTATGTGTCTGTCTGTCACACGCGCAGCCACGTGGCCCCACACGCAGGAAGGCAGGGTAGAGATGAGCAGCAGCAGGGCTAATGGTTGGAGTCAGCTGTCGTCTTGGATCAGCTAGGATGGGGGGCAGACGCTAGATGTTTATGGGTGGAGCATGGAGTCACTACGGCTCCCACAAGACCGCCGAAGGCAGTCACTAGCACAGCGCAGAGGAGTGCTGCACACGTTGCTCTGTTCAACAGATACACAAAGAGCCGTGATTCTGTTGCACTCGTTGAATGAGTGCCCTTGTCCGATTGTCACAGTGAAATTGCCATGTTCTTTCCCAGAATAAACCATGCTCACGTTGTGCTACACAGATTGATTTCCATTCACAGAGTAGTCTTTGTGTTTTGTTTTCCCTCTGGAACGGATTTTCAGATGAAAGAGCAGGAATGTCAGAAATAATCCATGTGAGTGCAACTCGCTGTATGAGTCACAAAATGATGCAAAGTCATGGATTGACTAACTCTGTCACTCTTTCTCTCCCTCCCTCTCTCTTTCTTTGCGTGTGTTATTCTGCGTGCAGAAGCGGGAGGTAAGAAGTTACGTAGCACGATCCAGAGAAGTACAGAAACAGGCCTGGCGGTGGAGATGAGGAGCAGGATGACTCGGCAGGCCAGCCGGGAGTCCACAGACGGCAGCATGAACAGCTACAGCTCCGAGGGAAAGTAAGAAGACTCAGATTCTTAGAGCAGTCAAAAAGCTCCTGTGTATATATTTTACTGGGAGCGGCTTGTATATACACAGCAAATAATTCAAAACTTGATTTGATTACTCACATCTTCACTCTTGGTAATCCTCCCGACATGTAATTGGCTACAGCCATTAGCTTAACTACAGTGGTGTCTTTTATCAACAAAACTGGTCTTTTCATCTCCATAGTAACCAGTGTGCCTTTCTCTGTTTCAGTCTCATCTTCCCTGGTGTGAGGCTCTCCTCAGATGCCCAATTCAGTGACTTTCTGGATGGTCTTGGCCCTGCTCAGCTGGTTGGACGACAGACGTTGGCTACTCCACCTATGGGTGAGAACAACAATCTGTTCAGCACATTTATATGGTAGTATGGTAATCCTTGGAATCGTTCTTTGCGTGTAGAAATGACCATTTGTATATCAGTTACTCACCCTGTCACAGAGTCCTGCACGGGTCCAGTTTTCAAGATCTGCCCCAACCCGACCCGGCGACGTACAAACCCGCACCCGAACCGCAAACCCGCGCATCAGGCCAATTAGTACCGCAACCCGGTCCGACCCGTTGAAACACGACCCGCAGCCCGACCCGTAACCCGGATTTAAAGTAATCATTTTGGGTCATATTGGCTGAATATTGAACAGCATATCGCCACAGTTAAGGTGCCAGTAAGTAAACAACGACCTGAATGAAGCAGCAATTCCTCACAATAAAAACCTGACTTCAGCTCCACCATCAACCCTCTGTGTTCTTCTCCCATACGAGTGTAAAAGCACTCGTTTGTTACGTTTAATGTTTTTAAACTTTTAATCTATGTAAAGGAACTTTACATGTGTAATAATAGACTTACTTTCTGTCCAGAGCGACGTTCAGCAGTTACAAGCCGTCACATGTTTTTAGAATCCATCGAGGAGAGAAGTAATCCATCAGGGAAACATTATAAAGTGATAGTTGTACGTTTTATCCATTTATTTCTCAAATACCTAAATAATTATTTACTGTTTTGGAAGCGGCGCTTGTTAGACGGTGGCAGCCATGTTGATTCTGTCGTCCAATCACAAAATTGTGTTATTAGATGGTGAAACGCGTGTCAACAGCTGAACCAGTGACCGTTGCGAAATAGCGGAGGCGATCCTCAGAGAGTAAATAATGACCAAGATAGTTATCTGTAGTTTACCGAACTAATGACTGATGTGTTTATCTAAAACCCGCGATCCGACCCGCATGTTATTTTTTCCACCCAGATCCGAACCCGGGAAAAAATATTTTTTCAAAACCACCCGCAAATCAGCTGCTACCCGCGGGTACCCGACCCAGTGCAGGACTCTGCCCTGTCACATTGAATTTGTGAAGAAAACACTTTTCTTACATGAACAAAGAATCCAAAAATGAAAAAAAATCTTTGATGAAGTCACAGGGGTCTGCATTGAACAATAGCCAAACTATATCAAGACTTCTAGCCACAAACTTTCACACAGCTTGTGCAGTATAATCCAAGTTTCATTTATCCAGTCGTATGCTGAGTACTTCCCAAACAAACAGCCCTTTACGACAGGGAACTGAACTGAAAGTTAAGCTTATATGCTCTCTTCAAAGCCAGCCTCCCTTAATAAAAAGTAATTTTACTTCGCTGAACATGGGAGCTGCTGTTCTGCTACTGCCTCAATCAAGAATTTGTTTTATTGTGTGACTTGAGTGAACCTGAACTAACTCTTTAAAACACCAAATCCACACAATGACTCAAACTTCGAGGCAGCGGTCAACCAGCACCTCGAATTCAGCGAAACAAGGGGCCAGTAAATGACATACAGTGGGGAGAAGTATTCCTTTAATAATCTTGTAAGGCATGCAGTAGTGTGCTAAAAGTTATGTTTTTTTTTTATTCAGGTGACATCCAGATCGGTATGGTGGAAAAGAAAGGAGCACTGGAGGTGGAGGTAATCAGAGCCCGTGGCCTTGTGGGAAAACCAGGTTCCAAGGCACTGCCAGGTAATTTAAGCTCTCACACTGTCATTGTCGCAGCCAATTAAGCACTTATCTCAGAAATCCACTGTAAATGTTGTTATATAATGAATGAAATAGCATGTTTCTTCAGGGCTGTGGGAGTAGACTAAGAGGTCGTGCATTTTCTTGACTCTCCTCTTTCCTCCTCTCCTATCTTCTCAGCACCATATGTAAAGGTCTACCTTTTGGAAAACGGAGTCTGCATAGCCAAAAAGAAAACAAAAGTAGCAAGAAAAACCTTGGATCCTCTTTACCAGCAGCAACTGCCGTTTGAAGAGAGTCCAGGAGGGAAGGTTTTACAGGTAAGAAAGGTCTCACAGGAATGAGAGTAGAAACTCTGAATCAGCCTCACTGAAACTTAATTTTTCACTGTTTAAACTTGTTTCATCTTTTTGAGTCATTTCTTTTTCTGTGTTCTTCTCCGCAGGTCATCGTTTGGGGCGACTATGGACGTATGGACCATAAATCATTCATGGGAGCAGTTCAGATACTGTTAGACGAGCTGGACCTGTCCAACATGGTGATTGGCTGGTTTAAGCTCTTTCCTCCTTCCTCATTGGTGGACCCTACTCTGGCCCCACTGACAAGAAGAGCTTCCCAATCCTCACTGGACAGTTTCTCTCGATCATAGCAGCGTGTGGACTGATAGCGTTGTTGTAGCAGCCAGTGTTGCGATTACAGGTCACGCCCCCCGGTTACACTGCATGCTTGATGTTGTGTCTTCTGAGCCTGTTTCTAGGGGTGCAAAAAACGTGATCCTGTGTTTTGAGCAAAAACGTCGCGCACATTGTGCACGTGGCGAAGCGTGTTGCAAGCGCCTGGCGGCCGGGATTGCCGGGTGTTGTTGTTGTTTGGAGGAAGCTGGAATGAACTCCTTAGCACGAGGAATCCGTCAGTTCCAGGTTTTCATCCAATTCGAAGCCATGGGGGTCCGTACTGGGAACTGCTAAATGAGTTCTACAGGAGCCCTTTTCGAATGAAAAATAAATGTTTTTGCTTTCTTTTCTTTTTTCTTTTTTTGTTTTCATTTGTTTTTTTCTTTTTTTTTTCTTTTAATGTCAGTGTACTTGTATCTGAAGGGGGTGACAGTGTTTCTAACCAGATGCTTGGTCACGCCACGCCAACAGACCTAGCTGTGTAGATGGAGTTTTGGAGACCATCGCTTTGGGTGAGGTGTGTCCCAGCTTGTATCCACACTCCCCCAAACCCCAAAAGAAAAGTCCCGCATACTCTAGGTTTATGTACTGAATCAAACCGTACTGCTAAATCACAAGAAAGACTTCAAAGTTAATCAGAGGCAATATTGAAGTGGCTACCATCAACACTCCAGATTAAAGAGTAACGATCCAAACCCCATGAAAAAAATGTACAATCTACCATCATTCTTTCTCTGTTGATATATTGTATGAAAATTAAATGAGAAAAAAATTTTTTTTTTTCCTTTTTAGTTCATTTGCATGGACACAAATTTAGCTGAATTAAAAAAAGAAAAAGAAAATTATTTTCTTGAGGCTGCAACTTGCAAAAAAAGATGAAGAAAAATAAATAAAACAGATCAGCCATTTTCAACAATTTATATTATTTTTAAAGATAAATTTCACTAGTGCATGGTTTTCAAGGGGAGTGAATGCAACATCGTGATTAAAAAAAAAACAGACATTGTTTATCATTCTTTAGACCATTCATGAGTCTGTGTTTTGCAGACGTGCAGATAAGGGAAACTTAAAGGAAACTTTTGGAGCTATTTAACAGAAAATGTTTATGTGACAAAAAGTGATAATGAAAATAAATGTAAATGATTTATTTCATTGTAAAAGGCTCACGCCTTATAAAGATAAACATTATGTGCAAATTGTACATGTTTCTCTTTTTCTTCCTTGTCCCAGGGTACTTCTCATTGTACTATTCATTGCTACCATCGTTCAGTCCCCTGATATTGTCCAGATTTTAGGACTGTTGGTTCATTTACAGTTCTGTATTGTTTCAGTATGTATTTTATTTTGGATTTGATTTGTTTAACAAGCATGTTGAAAAGGATTTTCTGCAACATGGCTTGGGCACACCTTACAGTAACTCAGCATGTTTTGATAAAGATGATATTTGGAATTTTTGCAGTTTCTTGTACAGTGCATGTCAACTTCATTACTTTTCTCCCTCACCTTAAATTGAACTCTACAACAAATTAGTTCTTGGTCTTCTGCGGCCACTTATTGAAGTTTTATCAAAAAACATTCCACCCCCAAGGTCATATTTTCTTTCAGGTTTTTGAGGGAAAAAAAGTGACAAGGAAAATATTTTATATTTAATGGAGGTTGACGAAACAGTTGTGATTGCAAGTGTATTTTATTTCAGTATTGTTGACGAACATGCAAAAATAATCTGTATTGGTACAGCAAGAGGTCTATACCTAATCAAGAGGCAGCAAACATGCAAGAGATGTATGTTGCTGTGGTTCAATTTTACAGGCACTGTTTGTGAAGATGAGCTAATCACAAGTTCAAATAAGGGATATTGCCACAGAAAATGTTTTTTTCTTGTTTTAATGAAAATGAAATTAATTTACTATATTTTTGTTAGTTTTATTTAAAAGCCAAGACCAGTTTATTTTTTATTTTCTATTTTTAGTAATTATAAATACTTCTCATGTCTGGGAAGTATATGAATCTTATAGTTGCAGTATGTCTGAATGAAATTGAACTGAGGCATTATTCCTTTTCCATATGACGATAACGCATTTTAATGTCCAAGAAAACCTTTCGCTTTAACAAGCCACAGTATATATTTTCATTTTGATTTTCATTGTACATACCTTTAGATGTCAGAATTTGAATAAACAAGCTACCATGAATAGACTGATAGACTCTTTTGGAACAGGAAAAATGCCTCACATGATGACAAAGACATATGTTATTTATCCTTTTGAATGCCTTTTAATTTTCTCTTTTTGGTGCAATGTGTTAATGCCAAGGCTATGTCTTGGTTAAGTATGGTTGAGTACAGAGATTTATGTAAGTTATTTTTCAAATTAAAAAATAAAAAATTGATATTACACTGATGCTACGTGTTGGGTGATAAGATTAACACATACATACACAACATACTTCATACAGAAACTGCAGAAAAAGTATGTATGTACTGTACTGTATTGGAAAATCTGTGGTTTGATCCCTGGCTCCCTGTCAAAGTATCCTCACTAAACTATCCTGGTCGCAGCTATAAAATAATAGTCAATATCAATATAGCAGAGATTGAAAAATCCTAACTGTCTTTATAGGTCAAGCTCTAAAAACCCTGGATCCTCCAATTCCCATAATGTAATCTTTTGTCTCCCACACCAGGGAAATTTCCACATCAACTCAATTGCTCCATGTTATACCAGATGTATGTTGTAAATCTGTAGACCCTAAAGAATCATCAGGGTCATATTCTTTAGACACTATGCAACCAACTGTAGCCTAGCATGTTCAAATTATGATAGTTATCTTCATGAATTTATCTCAGGTGGGGGAGTTTGATAGCTCCATTTATCCAACAGAAAATATTTAATGAATGCAGTCAGCTTGGCTGATTGTTGTGTAACATTAATATTACATCTTCTGAAAAAGCCAGCAATAAGTAAGATAAGAATTGATCATGATATCATTCAGCGTAGACCTACCTTTCTTGTTTCAAAGGCAGAGTAACTTGGTTCAAAGACAGACTAGCTGAGCTTCCTTTCACCTTCCACATTCAAACAAAACAAGCATGTACTGTTGCCAGCTGGCTAAGCTTGTTAGCTCATAACCTGATTTGATTATTAAGGCCAAACACAGGAATGACACTGCTAGCCGGCCAAATATGCAAAGGATTCACTTTTGTGAGTAAAGACATGTTTGTTTGTTTTTAAATTCACTTTTTAATTAACTTTTTAATCACTTCTGTATGACAACTGTGGTCAAAGACTCTCCAGTCAGGCTTGTGACTCTGTGGGACACTTAGACACAGTGGTGCTTTGAGCTAAATGCTAACATTAGCATGCTACCATGCTGATGTTAAGCAGGTGTATAATTTACAGTTTACATATGGTGGCTTCGTGTGTTAGCATGCCTATATGCGCCAAATAGCACTTCACACAAGGAACAGCCACTGCTGATGGGAATGTACTACAAACCAAATACAAGAACTAAACACATTGAAACATTGACCTGATGATGGTGCTCATTCAGGGCAAAACCAAAGTAATTATAAGTCATTTCCATCCTTAAAGCCATGCAGTTAGCAGCATGGCTAATAACAAGCACCTATTAGTGTTTGACATATAGTAGATTAGGTGAGTTGTGTTGCAATTGTGGCAAATTACAAAGCTCCTGAAAAATTAAGCATAGCGTTAGTTCAGGCAGGACACAATGTCAAGCTCAGCTCGCATCCAAGCTACATCAGCTGATCTCAAACAGTCAATCAACTGATGGAGCAGCTGATTGATGATAGGGAGTCAGCTGATAGATGACATGATTCCTTATATCATTCAGGGCACCCTATTTAAACTGCTTTGGCCTGCCTACTGTTGCTGCTTCCTCTGCAAGCCGCTTTGCAACCTGCCTCCACCTCACTTCCTCCTTTTCATGCTGTGTCTGACTTATCAATGAGTACGTTTACATGGACAGTTCAATTCCCTTTTCATTCAGAATGAAAATTCATTCCTATTAAATGTGATCTTGTAAACACCTAATTCGGATTGAAAATGGCCAATGTGATTGAAAATTCAATCCGATGTAAGGGGCTGGAATATTCCGTTTCTAATTCCGAATGAAAGAATTTCTCGCACTTGTATACCCTCATTCCTCTTAAAGTTCATTCCAGTCTTTCTGCGCATGCTTGTTTCCTTGCCCTTCTGGCGCGATGACGTATATAGCGTGCATAGCAACGGGCTGAGATAGAGCAGTCCGACTTGTTGCACTCACCAGTTTCCATTCACCAAAGCACAGTCTTCTATCTCCCTTCTTCGACCTTCTACCTCCCTTCTCCTCCTCAGCAGACGAAGCATTAGCAGAACAAGGTTGTTGTCGTACTGCTGCTTCAAGAATATAAGCAAAACAAGCCCGAAAAAGGCACTAAGAACGGCGTCGTCAAGCATCTTGTTATCTGGAGCGAGGACTACAGTGTTTTCTTCCGGTAAGCGTAAACATGTAACATCCGCCCCGCCCCCTATCCAATCAGAAGCCTTCCCTGCCCCAAACCTTGCGCGGACCCGAATACAGGTGATTAAAAGGCGATTAAACTGATCTCCCATGTAAACCCTCATTCGGAATGAATATTTCCCATGTAAACTACCTTGAAAGACTTTAATTCCAAATGATGTCATTCAGATTTATTTCATTCTGAATGAGAAGCCATCATGTAACCGCACCCAATGTCATCTCTGTTTGTCATTGATGCTGGCTCTGCTCTGTTCCCAGGGGGTCTTTGCAGCTATCCATGTCGGCGCATGGAGGGGCAGGGAGGTTTGCCTCTCTGCTTCAGGCTTTCCTCATTTGCACATGGAAGGGTAGACAGGTGTGTTGTCTCTGCCTTATCGCTTTCCACGTAGACTCGTGGAAAAGGCTTTCTGCGTCGGCCTGAGGAACGGTAGAGGGGGCCCAGAACAGAAAAGTTTTCTTTGACTAAAGTGTTCTTGACTGAATTAGAATTTTTGGTAACACTTTACAGTAAGGTACACAAAAAACAAGTAGTTCCCTCAGTCATTATCAATTAACTAATTATTAACTAAGGATTAGCTACTGTATGACATTTGATTGGGAGTAACTCAAGAACTGATCATTAACTAATGGTAAGTAACTCATTCCTTCCTCATTAGTTCCTTAGTAACTGCTCGTTTTTCGTGTACCTTATTGTAAAACCGTAAAGTGTTACCAATTTGTTCTCGGAAATCCTATTTACGTACTGCTGTGAAGAGGTGTCTTCTCTACTGTCACTTAAAAAAGGTTTTGTAAGAGCTTTTTTATCAAGTTTACTGTATGTCTTAAGGTGTATGCAACAGTAATCTGAATTAATTCATACATTAGTGGCATACAGGCTTACAATCCTCAATACAAGACAGAAGTTCTCAAACACTGTCAGAATGAGGCCATGTATTAGTCCATGTTTGCTTCTGCTTTTGGTTAAAAAATAGGGATGACTGAGAGATGACAGATGACTGAGGTTTGAGGGGACAGAAGAGTTCCTGTTTTAGCTGTATTTAAGAGGAATGCAAACTGCATGTGTAAGAATAGATGTCAAGCTCCACACACCAAGTTTGTACACTGCTTTGTGATTTTATTGTTCCAGAATGCTGCTCTCATGGATTGCAATAAGACAGAGCCTCGAGGATATCAGTTATGTGGCTGTGGATGTTTTCACAACTGGAAAAAGGGATGGCTTTCAAAGAACTCTCATCCTCCTCTTCACCTGTAGCTTCTCTAGCCTCCTGCTGAGCTCCCTGCTCCTCCTGTACCTCCTCTTCACCCTAAACTATGAGCTAGCAGTGGCTGGAGGGATTGCTGCCTGCTTTGGGACACTACTCTCAGTTGCCCTCTTCCTATCAAAAAGAGTAAGGTGCTTAGGGACACTATTTGTGATCTCAATTTTCATGAAGAAGAGTCGGAACCTGCTCCTCACCGCTGGGACCAGTTTAGTAGTTCTTAGAAATATCCGCAACACCTTGGAGAACCTCACAGGCCTGGTCGGGAGTATGATTTGCAATCTGAAGGCCAAGAAAGCAGCCATCGTCGCTCCGTTCAGTAACTACGTCAAGTTGTTGAAGTGGCTGGGGAACATGCTCAAGGGGGTTACAGATTTGGGGGTGGTGAACCTTGACTCCAAACTCAAGGTTTCACCCAGACTGGAATCAGAAAAACTGAAGGGGAAACTCATTGAAGCAGAGCAGCAGCTGAACGAGACTGTGAAGTATGTGCAGTACCTTATGAATACAGTCTCCTCTGTGACCGATAAGATGTTTCCTGCCATCAGCTTCCTTGTGCTCATGATGTTTATAGCGCTGCACATAAAAAAATACTGCAATGACATGAAATACCAAAACAGGTTTGTGAGCAGCAGATTTGTTCACTTTGACGAGAAGCAGAAGGCGGAAGGAAAGCCCCACGTCCTCCCACTCACACCAGAGGAAGAAAAGCTGTATACCGCTGTCCCCTCCGCCCGTCCCACCACCAGAGAGGGGAGAGCTATGCTGAAATTTGGTGTTCCAGTTGTCTCCCATTTTGTATCTTGGGTCATATTTATAACTGTGGATGCCTTATTGTACTGCTTTGTTGATATTGTAACAACAAAGCTATCAGAGCTGGAACCATTCCACGTCCCGCTGTTAATGAGCATCAAAGTAAGTATGTTTGTGAAAGATGTGTTATTAATGTCACAGTATTTGTTCCAGTCAAACAGCCACTGAATATTCATTTATGTTTCTTCTCAGGGGATTGTAACTTTGATAGGTATACCATTTGGTGAGGAAACCCATCAAAAAGACTTTTCCTACTCTGTGACCCTATTTGAGAAGCAATGTCTTCCTAAACCCAAGCTGCTGCTCTATAACTCTGTCGTCCCTTTGGCTGCCATCCTGCTCACACTGCTCATTATGGCTCTGATGGCTGCCAAAGTGGCCCAGCTCAGGCTGATTATCTGTGAGCAGTTCTTCTCCACCGCTGCAGAGCAGAGAGTGCAATACCTGCACGCCAAAATTCTGAGGAAGAGATTAAAAAAGAGGAAGGAGAAAAACAACTGCAGCTCCACATCACTCTATTTTAAGGTATGCATTACTGTTTATCACAAAGTTAAGTTGGTAAATCTCTGTGTAGAATGCATAAGGCTGATTTGTCTTGTCTTTCCAGGCACATTTCTGGTGTCCGCTGCTCTTCAGGCCCAAAGAGGATCCGCAAAGTATTGTGTGAGGAAGTTATTCTTTCTGCTACATAAATTTTTTATTCTGTGAATGACAAAGCATACGAAAACACACTGCAGCATTGTGCTGCACTATTTTAGGATCTGTTCAAGGCTTTTTAATAGTGCTGATTGTAATATTCCGTTAAATAAGCTGCTTTACGTTATTTTTGATGATTCTGTTTACCGCTGATTCAAATCAGAACTATCTGGTAGAGTACAAACTGTTGGTTTTAAAACATGTCTCCAGATGGCTGATAAAAGTGTCCCACAGGGATCAATAATAGGCCTTCTACTATTTATACATAAATGATATTTATATGACCAATAATATATGACCATTTTTCATGCTGATGATAATGTTTTATGTGCCATCAGCTCTAGCACAAACCTGCGGTGTGCCTCAGAGCTTAACGTACAGCAAGTTAAGAGAATGCATGCAAATAGACACCACACAAGCAAATAAAGAAACACAAAAACTTCAAGTTGACTACATGTTCACAGCATTGAGAAAATGTGCTGGGAGAAGCTTCATAACAGAAACTGTTGCCAAGGGAAAAGTGATGCACACGGCTAGGGCATGCATGCAATCATAAATTAATGAAGTCAGCTATCCATCAGTGGTGCTGGAATATGGCCTAAATTAAGGGTTTTTTGTGCTTATTTCAACATTGTGATGACATGATTTAGATGTTATTGCAGATATCTGCTTTCAACCTAACATTAGCCTTTTCCTTATTATTATATTCCATATTATCTGATTCATGGGATCACATGACAGAGAGTCAATTTTAATAACTTCATTAGCCACAAACCATGGCAGCAACGAGTGTATCCCAGCTGTGTGCATCCTGTTTTATTGGCTGTAAGCCATTTCTGTTGTGTTGTGAGCTTCTTGCACTGCTTCCTCTAATGCTGCATGTGTGTCATCAGATTAGTGAAGATGTTTCTTCATTTTCTTGTGTCTGTTTGCATGTGTTTTCTGAATTTGCAGTGTGCTGAGGTTTCAGTGCTACAGTACAAACCAGACCTCCAGGTTACAGTCTGACCAGATTTCAAACTTGTTCTAAACTCCAAAAAGACCAAATGTATGCTTTTTCCCAAGAGCACTGAGCTGTTCTTACTCCGATCTATGCTGATTATGGAGATCTAATAGATACTGCACAGCATACAGAGTTTAAACAATCTACTATACTATCTTCACGGGATTGTGTCAACATCCTGTTTACAATTTGTACAGCTAAACTAAAGCAGTTAAACTGGGAGACTGGTTTCTAGTACTATGCACTTTACAACTGGACTGAACTGATAAATGAAGGACTTAGTACATTCTGATATTTTTTGTATTTGTGACCATTTCAGTGTGTGTGTGTGTGTGACTGCAGTGTTTTTTTTTAAACTAGCCTGTACTTTTTATATTCCATGGAATATGAAAATAATAAATGCGTGTTGCTCGAACACTGTGCCCCATTACTTGTCTCTACCTGCATTGTCATTCAGCATACTTTAGTAGTTCATTGAGTTACATCATGTTACATAACTGGTCATTCTGCCAGTTGACAATAATGGTAACCATGGCGAATGGTTTATAGATGGAACACTTTCACATTAGTAATAGCCAACCAAACACAGACCATAAATGAAGAGGTTATAATTCAATTTAGTTCAGCTTCAATCAGCTCTCAGTGACTAGAAATTTCATTTTATTTGTCATGGACATTACATCATGATTATTACATAACAAGGCAGACGACAGTATTCTGTGATGAGCGAGCCCAAACTGTGACCATAATCCACTGCAGGATATACCATATATATTTAGGTTCAATGCCACAGTAATGCCAGCTAACCAAATATATTAAACATATTAAATCCCATAAAAGCTCTAGACTTGTTCAAGGCATTGAAATAAACAACTTGCATGTTTCATTTTACTTTGTACCTTCAATTTAAGTATACACTTATGGATTTATGGTGACTGCAGTGAATCCTATTATTTATAAGCTCTCGGCAGTATTTGTCTTCGATAATAGATCCTGCACCAAACAGCTTCCAGTAATAATAATCACACAGAGGCAGGCTTCTGTATTTTACCTCTGTGTGTCATGCTCCCCTGCAGAGTGTAGCACAGCAATATTTGCTTACATAATCTAAGACAGATGTCCCCTACATGCGCAGTGAACAGGACTGTCCTCTTTCCACTTACGCACTGTCGCTGTTCATTAATATCTCGCAGGTGTTACAAAGAGGTATGCATTTTTAACATCATGGTACTGTGTGTGTGTGTGTGTGTGTGTGTTCCTGTATTGTTACCAAGCTACCAAGAGTGATTGTGATTAGACCATGGGTGATAGTATGTGCAGTATGAAGGTATTTTTTTAGATTGAAGGACAGCAATTAAACAACTGGTTAAAAAAAAAGCTGACTCTTTACAATCCTCAGTTAGGTTCAAGGTTCATGTATTTTCATTCTGCACAACAAAATGCAAAAATATCTGTATGGTAGAGTTCTGAGGATGAGTTAAAGAGTGTTAAAGCCTGAGGAAATGCTGCTCTGTGGTCTGGTGGTACGACAGTGGACACTTCTATATCGCTTGCCAGACGTCAGCATGGTGAACAGGCTGTGGGTATTGTCTTTTAATATCCTTTGGCATCTGCACAGGCACCTCACTGATATCACTGATACTCAGTAGATAGGTACCAATGATATTCTGGGTGGTATTAGTCACCGGCTGCATAGCCCTCCTATCCTGGGCCGGGCATTCCATGACACTTTGTAATGTTTTGAGTCGGGATGCTTTCTATGTCTCCTCTGTAAGTTGACAGGACTTTGGCAGGGGGACTTTTGCTTTCTTAAGTTTCCTTGAGAAATACAGATGTTTCTGAGCTGACAGGATACTTGACATCTGCCTAGTGAGCAGACAGAACTTACACTGCGTAATGTAAAAACACGATAATGTGTGGTTCTGTGTTGCCTATTTTTTTAAGGCAATGACCTACTCCAGTTTAGTTTTCCTAACTCTAGTAAAATGGTTTGACTTATAAATGTGTTTTCATTTATGAGGAATTATGTTGATTCCACATTTAATATGATTCATTACCTCCATTTTTAAAAAGTTATGTCAACAGTAAAACATTTCCAGTTTATTCGTCCTTGTTATTTGACTTTTATGACCACCAGTTATAATCTATAAAAGCCTGTAAAGAAAAATCCAGTAGTTCTCACTGTTTTCAGTTCTCAGGCTCAACTGTACAATCCCACACCACCTCTTCCACTGTCAGAGACAAGAGGAAGGAAGTGGTACAGCTCAAGGATGAGTAGGCCTTCTGTGACTCACACGCTGCCACTGACCCGTGTGGCAACCTGATAAGCTCACATTATGTCTCAACTGGCCCTGCGGCATAATACCACGCCAGCATGCCAGCCCAATAGGAAGCTGCCACATGATGCTCGGTGACAGCCACAGACCTTTTTTACCATGGGAAGGAATGAATGCAGTCCATACATGGGCATAGATGGAGCGCATATGATAATGTGCCATCCTGCTGAATATGCAAATGCGGAGTCAATGTAGGTCAACAAAGTAAATCTTTATACTCTCATGCATTTCAGTGCATTTTAATGAATATTTCATCAAAGGGAAGGATGCTTTTGGGTGAGAATCATTAGCCCTGTTACCAATGGCAACAAATATTTAGAAAAACGGGAGAAAACGGAATCAGACAGACAGTTTTAAAAATTATTTCATTACACCATCACCACAGTGATATGCAGAGATATAGAAGTGATTAAAGGTTATACCATGAAATCATGCATAAGCCCTATATTCATTCATTACAGTGAATTACTTGATTGCATAATGCATGTTAGCGCAAATATAATTTTCCTCAGCACAGTGTGTTCCACCAACCTGTGTACTGAGCGCAGCTGGCCTGGAAACCTCACACAGTTAAACAAATATAACAAAGGTATTATCTGCCAACAGCACATTGACCTAAGTGTTAATCAGAGTTGACCTTAACGCCAACATCATTGCCTCCACTACACACAGTGATTTAAATGACTGAATAATGTATATATGACTTGCAGAAATATTTTGAGAGAGATAACTCAGAGCAGGTTAATTAGGGAGACAGCATTCAGCATGCAGCACTGCTTTGGCTTTGGTAGCTTCTGGATTGTACTGGAGACACACAGCTGGAGAATCAAAGTGCCTTTCATGTTCCAGGACAGTTGTTCAAACAGAAATGACTTTGCCGTCATAGGGCTTTCTGATCACAGCTGTAGGTTGCCCCACCTGCAGGTCAAATACAAAGCAGAAGGAAAGGTTCAGTGACCTTTGTGTACAGTATCTCATCAGGATCTGGCTGCTTCAAATACAGCATATGTCTCAATTTCAGTCTTCTGAAAGGTGCTTTACACATAAGCAGCATTTCTGTGTCTTCTGTTTTAATTATGACACTCACTTAATGAACAAATAATGAATCAACATTATCAGTAAATACTTTTAACCCAAGCTATCTCTAGACCGCTGAAGATCTGGAGTAAAGAGAGTGAGATGAAAAGGTCAATGCCATTTCCATATCTGTAAAGTAAGCGTTTTTGCATTTCCTTAGAAAGCCTAGATCCGCTGAAGGTAAATGACAAGACCTCTAAAGCAGATGACAAACATGTTATATCTTGTTGGTATAATTTGTACTACAAAAATGACAAGTTGAGGTTTTTGGGGTGTTATTTCCTGGTCTATTTCTTGGGTGAGTGTAAACCTGTAAACTAATGTTTTTTGTCCACTTGGAGGCATCAGAAACAAGTTGTGGCATCAGGTACGTTACAAATCTAAGATCAACTGAGTGGTGCATTTTTTTGCAAAAAGTTGCATATTTTCGAATCCAGCAGATGCATAGTAACATCAGCATTTATTTTGAGTCATGTGTCTGGTCACCTGACAAGAGTATGTCTCAAGTCTTTGCACACAAGTCCCAAGTTAAGTCTCAAGTACTACTGATTGTCCTAAACAATTCATAATGCAGTCTTTACCAAATGTAATGCCATATTAACAACAGAGTAATAATTAACAAAAAATAGGAATGCTTTGTAATATTGGTATTTGTCTGTTAAAACAAGTTTGTCGGAAGTTGTGTCTCCATCTATAATTTTCAATTCAGCCTTCTTAACTTAAATTCATTACATATATTCTACAGTTCTTCCGTACTTCCATACATTAATTACTGTGTGAAGTTTTAGGGAAAAACATTAAACGATCACTAATCTAATTTTCTTACTTCACAAGAGAGTGATTAAAATCATAAACATGAGCCCATTATCCGACACATAAACCATTCATAAATTCACAAGTACTCAAATTTAGCAAAGTTGAGGGGTGTCGGTGGCTTAGTGGCAGAGCAGGCGCCCCATGTACAAGGCTGTTGCCACATCGGCCCGGGTTCGAGTCCAGCCTGTGGCCCTTTGCTGCATGTCACTCCCTCTCTCTCTCCCCCTTTCACACTTAACTGTCCTGTCCATTAAAGGCAAAAAATGCCCAAAACAATATCTTTAAAAAATTTTTTTTAGCAAAGTTGTAGATTTTAGAAATGCCAGTGATGTACAAAGCATACACCAACATGTTACCAGACTGCATCCAGAGGTTGTTTCAAATAAGAGGATGTCAGTATGAACTGAGAGGGAAATGTATGTTCACAACAAAGACCAGAACAAAAGTAAAACAAAGATGTGTTTTAGCATATGGAGTTAATTTGTGGAATGGTTTAGAAATGGAAATGAAAGTGTGTAAAACACATAACCAAATAAAAGAATTAAACACAAGATGATTAAAAAATATAAAACTGACATATGAACACCAGAAATGGGTTTGGGAATTGGGTAGAAAACAGGCATATTTAATGTATATATAGTTAGTTTTTGTTACTGTCTTGTATTGCTCTGTATAATTCAAAGGGAGCTGACAGAAATAATTAATGTTAAAAGGGGTGGGTGTAATAAGCTAAGTCTTCAGCCTACACCTTTTCAGTCCTGTTCTGTTTTTTGTTTATCTTTTGTTTTAAATCTAAAAAAAGACATAACTTAATGTTTATTTACTGTCTATCTAGCAGTGTATTTGAGTTTTATAAGTTAGAAAATGTCCAAACTAAAACTAACCCTAAACCTAGAACTAAAACTAAAACTAAAGCTAAAGCTAAAACTAAACTAAACTAAATAAGTTGTGTTGGAAGTGGTTTTTGAGTTGGTTAGGTTGAGTCTAAAGTATTTCAATTTGTGACTTGAGTCGAAGTCATACAGTATGACTCAAATTCACACCTCTGGTATTCATTCTCTTGTAGCTCTGTGTTTGTTCTCCATGATGTCCTGAGGGAAATATGTGGCTTCTAAATGCTCCACTATGTCCATCAGCTAATCTGTACTAGCCAATTAGTATACAGTGGGTTTCTTGGGTTATTTCACTCAAAACAGCTGCCTGCAGTAGCTGAAAATGACACTATGAGAGCAATGAGATTGGACCAAAAGAGTAGAGCTGCAGGCTGGAAAACTAAAACCATGAGCTGAAAGATGCTAAAACACTCCGCACAGCTGAGGAGAAATGTAGTCTCAGGTGAGAATTCTTTGTAGGTCTTTCATTATGAGCAACTAATTTCACATTACACACCATCCTTTGACCCATTTTTAAAATATAAAACTGATTATAGCAGCTTTAACAAATACATGTAGAGCTTGACTGACCTGATCCCTCTGCTTGACTCTTTTGTAAACATATTCAGAGAAGGGTTTTCTGTGGATGAATTTGCCATGCCCTGCTGAGGCGTTCAGCTGGCCACGCTCATAGACCACTTTGCCTCTGGAGATGGTGATGACAGGGACACCATGGCACTCCATGCCCTCGAAGATGTTGTAGTCCAGAGCCTGGTGGTGAGTCTTGGCTGATATCTTCCTGCCAGGACACAAAAACACAACTACAGGTTTGCAAACAGCTATTTAAAATGACTTTAGAACTAAACATCTTTATCACATAAAACTCTTATGATAAGTGATGTAATCACAGTATACTTTCTGAATACCAAGCTGAAAAAAGACAACAGAAACCAACTGTAAAATTTTAATGTCCTTATCTGACACTGACTGAATCAGGCCAAGATGTACTCGTACACAGCATCAAGCTGCTGCGGCTCACTTACTTTGCAGCAACAAGCAATATAGTGTAAATGTATTATTTACAACTTTTGCTCATGTGATGCTCTCTTCTCTAGAAAGGCCAGAGTGGGACATTGGAGAGGAATGAGTTTTGAAAAAGAGACACAAAACAGGCACCCAAACAAATTTAGCACAGCTGCAATAGAGTTTATTGGCCAAAATGATTAAATTATTTGAATTATTTATCTAAAACCACTCATGGCAGAACTGGCTTTATTCAAGTTTTATGTAAAACTAATAATTTAGTACTATGCTGGTACTGCACTGTGTTACTGCTGTGATCTCTCTCCCACCACATGGAACAAGTGTGAATGGAAACAAATACCATTTTATGGTTTTTACTCTATTTATGTATTATTGTGCTACTCACTGGAAATACTATGCTTTCTATTCCACTACATTTAACCAACAGCTACATTTACTAGTTATCTTGCATAGATTTTTCATAACCTAAAAGACACGTGATGAGCTTGTAAAATGCATTATTAGCAAATAAACTACCACACAATGTAAAGTGAGGTCGTTAAATGAGCTGTATTCGACATCAGAGCATATCTATCCCTCTGAGCCATGATTGTCTGCACATGGCACTCAACATGGAGGTGGTACAGCTGGCAGCTTACAGTGCTAAGGGCACAAACAGTGCTAACAATGGCCACGGTGCTGACAGAGCTAATGATTTGAACGTGGGTGGGCAGGTACACTTTGGCAATGATGTTGTTCTGCCACTGTGGGTTGCCACAGTCTTATCAGCTATATGAGCGCAGTGCAGAACAGCGGTGAGCTACCCAGGGTGATACGCATGCAGGGAGTCACATGCACTAATATGCATGCCAGACTGTCTACCACAATAAAGAGCAGAGAGGCTCGAATTACGACACTTACAGAGGGAGCATGACCTCACTACTCCACTATGCCTTACATAGCAAATTGTCTTTTGCTGGTATATTAATGCTCTGAATGTAGCATGCAACTCTTTTAAAATTAGCTCCATCTCGACCAACCATAACAGCACGCAATATAAGATTCTTGACCTTTTGGCGGCAACAGAAAAAAGCCTTTAACACAACATGTAACACCATTTAAATTAACACGGGGAACATAACATAGTTACCAAACATCCAGCAGGCATTTAGTTTAGGAGTTGTGTTTCCAGTCATTCTCCTTCAAACTCTGTTGTTTGGTCTCCACCGACTTTTGAGAAAATATTTAGTTTTTCAGCTGCTGCTCAGTTTTTTAGAGTTATTTCACTGTGAACAGCTGCCCAGTGTAGACAATAACAACGCCAAGAATGGTGACAGTGAACTAAAACTCTAAAGTTAGTGACATAAAACCAAAACAGTGAGCCAAAAGACACAAAAACACTCCAGAGTTGGTTGATTTTTATCTGTGTGGTCATTACTACAAGTGAACCCTTTAACATACAAGTGTAGTTGTGATCCTTTGTTCATAAAAATTATTGAATTAAGTAGCTACAGAACCTGTGTACTTCCACCACTGCATGCAGTCACTAATAGTAGTTGTATTAACCTACTGCACCTCATCATTAGGGTGGTTTAAGGGCTTTCTTGAAAATGCAGAAAATTTCCAAGAGGGAGAGCCAGTTACATTTTAGAGTAGAATAATCCAATGCTCTGCACAGTACAGAGTGATGAAAGACTGAAACAGCAGGGGACAGTGAAATAGATCTAACTCAGCCAGTTAAACACATTGGATATCTTTTTCTTTTTTTTAAGTGAGCCCTCTTTCCCCCGTTTGCACACATGCACATTTCTTGCTGACTTGTTAAGTCAGACACCATGCCCAGTGTGCACTGACAAAAACAAGATGCGTCCTCATTATTCAAGTAGCCCAATTATGAGACACAAGGCAAGTGACTGAACTTCCTAGGCGTCTGTGGTTATGCAACCGTTTGTGGCCCCTGGTCCCGGATGTTATGGAGTGACACTTGTGCTGAGGGCAATTAATTACAAAGTTTCACAGATGAATTCACGGCTGCAGCAATCAAACACGAGGTGCTGTCATGCTTGAAAGGCATTATAACATCCGCAGACACATGGTAAAAACAGAACACACACACACAGTGAGACAAACAGGTGACGTCCGAGGACAACAGGCCTGACAGGATTGAAAAACTGTAAATTCCTCCACAGTAAGAATTGTGAGGGTCTCACACAAGCTTTTTCAGTGTTACCAGTGAATTAATTCACAGGAAATTACACCGGAGTGTAATGTGTTCTTCTCCAATTCACATGAGCGGTTAGTAACTTCCCTGAGGGGCTCAGCCCAGATTCTGCAGCAAACAGAGCAGTGCTGTGCCATTCTAGGTTATATAAGACTTACTGTGCTAGAGTATGCAAGCTACTAGAATGCAAACTGTCCTCTGTGCCTGCATCTGTGCATGTGCTCCACAGAACAGCATACTCTCCTCCGCTCTATATCTGAGACTTATAGAATGAGAATAATAAGAAAATAGAAACAATCACATGATCAGTTTTCATATGCAGCCTTGCGATATTCTGAGCAGGTTACTGAAAATAGCCTTAATGCTGTGTGTTTTATCTACTATGAAAATTGGTTTAGCTCCCACGTGAAATATTCGTCATCTTTAAGATCCTCACCATGACCCAACAGCATCATCCCACTGATGCTGTGCACATCTAGCTTAAGTAAGAGTGTTAAAATCCTTCCTAAAAAAGATAACAAAAAATGGAAAAGAATGAATCATTCCAACAGTCTTGTTTTTTTACTGACAGATGTGATTCATATGTAAATTGTGTTATGCTTTAATTAGCTGCTGTAGGTAAGTGATGATGACATACCCTGACTTCTGGAGAGAGCACAATCAGCTTATGTGTGTGTGATGAGGTGGCACAAGATGAAAGATACATCACTTCTCTTTTTTAGTTGCCTTTATCTATACCTTGCATGCTTTACTGCTAAACTTTATAAACCTTATCTTATTCAATACTATACTTGACACCCTGGAGGCAGGCTTTCAAACCTGCCCAATGTTTCAGCAGCACCATCTGCAGTCTGCACCTGCAAGCAGCTGCTGATAGCACTGGTAGAAATGGTTAACTTAGTACTAAGAGATAAGAGAGCATTCAGAAGTCATTGGAGTTGTACACAACTAAGACTTTGACGAACAGTGTCCACGAGTATTCCTTTCCTGCTCATTTCAAAAGCTAATGCTGGATGGCTGGAATCAAGTCCTCACCTTGTCATCTTGGGGTCCCAAATAACCACGTCAGCATCCGAGTTCTTGGCAATACGGCCTTTCTGTGGGTAGAAGTTGAAGATTTTTGCTGCGTTGCTGCTGGTGACAGCTACAAATCGATTCTCGTCCATTTTGCCGCTGTGCTGAAGAAGGAAACACACAAAGTAGCCAGTTGGAAAAAGGGGCCCACAGTGGATGACAACAAAATACAGAATTAGCAGGCAAAAGGTCAGCGCCTTACTGCAGCAGCAAGCAACTCGTTTCTGCCAAAATATCATCTAATGTGTGATTTGTAAGCACTGTGGAATGTGGTAAATCTTCTCAGTGGCCTTGGTGCAGCCGAGCTAAAACACTGGCGTCTTCACAACAGTGAGAAAATGCAACGCTGGCTTTCTGCAGCAATCTGCAGCTATTGTAGAAAAACAGAGACACTTTTAATTCAGTAAAAAATAAAATGAGTAGAATAGTTAGTGCTTACTAGGGCTGTCAAACAATTATCTTTTAAAATCATGATTAATTGCTGAATTTGAATAGTTAATCTTCACATGTTCAAAATCCCATTCTTTTGCATTTCAAAACAGTTTTGATGTCCATATTTATGAGATAAAGCAAATCTTAGAGTGTGCTGATTGGGATTCACATGAATGCAAAGAAATGAACTTCATGATCATGACTTTTAAATTTATTTGCTTTAAATCAGTGCTGCACTGTGACAGCAGTGTGGTCTTGAAACCATGACTAGGAGGCAGGAGACAACTTTAAAGTGCTTATTCTGGGAAATACAATGTTGTTTGTTTCTGTTTGGGGTTTTTTTTGGAGATGATTACACTGTTCCAGTAGAGAAAGTGCAGTTACTCTGATATAATTTTGATGACTCACTGATGTCCAGTGATCCCAGGTTAATGTGACAGATTTTGCACTTATCAAGAGTTCCAGTGTATTTGCTTTCTCTGAATCATACAAGTTCTGCTTACAGCTTTCTTGAGAACCACTCATACAAACACCTTCACGCTCTACACTGCACTTCTTTCGGTCCTGAGCAACACACCTCGGCCCCAAACAGCTATAGATTTAATGTTGTTTAGATATGAAAAATATTGAATTATGTTGCTATTGTTACTCATGTTTCCAGACAGAGATATGTTACTGGTTACACTGCAGATTCAGATTTTACTTCCAAAATGTAACAATTGTTGAACAATGTGATTTACGTAAACTTAAGCACACTGTGCCTTCATTGCTTCATATTTTTCTCCTCCTGCCCTATGCATCCTTGAACACATGCATTAAATTTTTCAACGCCTATATGGCATAGAAAGAAATCAGAAACACTTGAAATCATGTAAACTACAGCAAATAATTTATTTCAGTGGTCTAAGTGCCACAGAATAATTTGAGTGTTGAAAAAACTTTCAAAATCCTGACAATTTGCTTTAGAAGACAGCCAAAGTCATGGACAACAGTCTGGCTTTGAATATGCTCAGATTAGGCATATACAGAACAATTTTCTGAGAGTGCAGTTATTGAATCTTTGGAGACACTACAGTGTGTAAGAGTGATTTTATTGAATATTTTTTCCAATGAAAATTCCCCCAAATAATGCAAAAGCACTTCATTTTGTAGTATAACCAACAGGAAACCATTGATATGTGAAGTGATTTTGGGGACACTACATGTCATAAGATTTAAGTTATTGAAAATGTTTGTACTCCCTTTTTGGTGTTGCACTTAGTATTCAGTCCCTGCTCACTGTCTCACAGCCGGCTGTGCTCATAGAGACACGTTATCTGTCCAGCTTGGAGGACAGCTCGTTTTGATGAAATGTAGTTCATTATTATTGTTTGTGTCCCGTGCCCAAATCGCACCAAATTCGACACCGCACATCCTTGGTTCCCCAGAAATACACCTGCCAAATGTGAAGTAGTTCAGATGAACGGTTCTCGCGTTATGCGGACGACTAACAAACATACAGACAGACTCCCTGCTTTACAGTTAGCCTATAGTGGTGTGTCTGTGGAACTCTGCAATTACACCGCCTAAACACTGGTGGGGTTTCTGTAAAGTGCTGTGAAGTTTAAATCACACATTAAACATGGCTGAATAGCTTCAGTTTCAAACGAATTACACAAAACTGACATCATTATCACTCACAAGATTCACTAACAAAACACTTTTCTTTTGCTGGAAACGTTTTCCCCACAAATACAACATGCTAACGTTATTAGGACAAGGTCCTAGGTCTACAGCATTTTACATTGTATAAATTAGCCTAGCGGCTAGCAGAGTTTCCTCTGCTTATATGAAGGCAGGAACAACAGCAACATTTAACAAAGGTAACATTACTTAAATCGGCTCAATTCCAATTCACAACATTAGCCAAAAAATGAATGGTCTCTCACTCAACACTTTTTCTCCACAAATACAACATGCTAACATTATTAGCATAAGCGTATGATATTTTACATTGTATGAATTAGCCTAACGGCTAGCAGAGCTCTGCTTATATGACGGCAGGAACAACAGCAGCATTTAACTAAGGTATAATTACAAATTTCGGCTCAATTACAACTCACAACATTCACTGTAAAAATTACTGTCTTACACTAAACACTTCTTCTCCACAAGTACAACATGCTAACATTATTAGCATAAGCCTATGGTGTTTTACATTGTATAGATTAGCCTAGTGCCTAGCAGAGTTCTCAACCTATATGAAGCCAGGGATGACAGCAACATATAAAGTAACATTACAAACTTAGTCTGAATTACAACTCACAACCTTTGCCAAAAAAGTAATTGTCCTACACTCAAGTTGTTTTCTCCACAAACACAACATGCTAACATTATTAGCATAAGCCTATTACATTTTACATTGTATAAATTAGCCTAGTGGACTTCTTTTCTCACGAGTCACACATAGGACTTGAATTGTAGGTCTGCAGTCAGTTGCCATCCATTTAGTAAATGCTGTGGTTAACTTCTTACATTTAGTTTCATCCACAAGTCTATGGCGACTCGCTCACTCAAAAACAGTGCCAGCTTTGGCTATGACATTGCGCGCTGACATCAGTCTGATAGTGGCATCTGTATGGTCAGCTTTTAAGCGGTAGCTCAAACTGTAAGTATTTTGTTGATATTCTAATTTAGTTTAATACAAGGTGCATATTACTTTTGAATTGTCAACTGAGCCATCCAGTTTTTTTTTTTTTTTTTTTTTTTTAAGTTTAAGGACCCACTCAAAAGTGCAGTGAGGTATTCTTAGACTAATGTTAAACTAGATGATGATGTCCCACTAAGGGTTAAAAAATGTACAATGGATCCCTGCCCACTGTTATGTCAATGCATAATGAAAGCCACAAGGCAGCTTGAAAGGGGCCCCTGTAGGAACCTTGTGATTTGAAATGATACTATGCATATATGATGCATATTCCCCAAATTATTTGGCCTCCACACACGATGAGTAATCAATCTTGACTATGCATCACAGTAAAACGTATCAAGCTGACGTAAGAAACATGCAAACAGGGACTTTTAATCTAAAAAGCACAGTTGAACTTGTTATGTTGTCATTAGCCCAGTTTCATACATCGTTTTATTCAGCCCACTGCCACATCGCTGCAAACTGTGTAATTACATGGATAATGTCAGGAAGCTGCGTAGTAGCTGTTAATGGCACAGCATGCAGCTCACACTTGTGCTGTTTCAGACTCAAGTGTCAATGCTGAACACTGTCAGATAAAGTGTATTCATAATGTTATGACTTACCACTCCTTTCTCCCAGATGACAGACATCCTATCCTCCACTCCATTCACTCCATTTGGGATCTTGGTGAAGTCGTCTTTGCCGAGAGCCTTCTGGCACACAGAGAAGGTGCAGTTGTCCGTCCCCGTCACACTGAGATCATCGCTAGCACATTGATGGATAAAAACATGTATGGATGAATGACTGGATAGATGCTTGAATAAATAATTAAAAATACAAAACAAGTAGCAGTAGCCATAATTATTTAATAATTACTGAAGCTGAGTTAATATGCAAATTGGAACATTATGTAAATTCTGTCAGCTTCAGTGTCTTCTCCTGTGTCACCCTTAACTGCTGAAATAAATTTGAATATATGATGTTACCAGGATCACAGCGAGTGTAATGTCTGCCGTGTCCACACTGTAAAACACTGAGCTGCGTCTCTTCAATAAAAGATGCTACACACATGAAATGTTTAATTATTGATATCTGTGAGATTGGTCATATTTGTGCATCTGCTAATACGTTTTTATGCAGCCTGTAGTTGTGTGACGGTGTTTGTGCTGACAGTGTGTTGTCGTCTGTCCACTATGGAATGCGCTGTCAAAAGAGGAGCAGGCCATATATTATGAAGAGGCAGAGAAGAAGAGACAGCTCCATGTACAGCAACACCCTGGCTGGTCATCTGGAGACAATTACGTATGTACACTCTGCTGACATACAACTCTTACATGTAAAAAACACTACACTAGAGTTTATGACACAAAGTCACTGAAAAGAGACTTGTTTTTAATGTTTTTTAAGGTGGAAAGTCTAAAGTAGTGTTTTTTGTTTGTTTGTTTGTTTAGGGCTGAAAGAGAAAGAGGGACAGGAACAAGGCTGCCAAAGAGGCTGACGGTAAGACAGTATTTCTGTGGATCACAGCGTCTTTCCATGAAAACTGAATGACATGACCACATGGGATCACACTGGACTAATGTGAGATCACAGATTGTCAAAATACACAGAATAAGAAGCAGCATCTTTTACTGTCTTTTATTGATCAGTGTTTTTGTTTGTTTGTATTGCAGCATCTGCATCTACATCTGAAGAGGTCACCCAGCCACCTAAGAAACTGCGTGTGACCCCAGTGTACATGGGTGTCACACAGGCTCCTGACACACAGACAGATGTGGCGCAGCCTTCTACTTTGCAGAGAGGTGTGATCGAGGCTCCTCCCAGGCAGACCAACCTGATTTGCCATTCCATCACACAGGCTCCAGAAACCATGGACGTGTGTGACAAGTGAGACCTGCCACAGCATCAGGCTCAGCCTCAAGCTCAAGCTCAACCACAGGCTCAGCCAAAGCCACAGCCACAGCACACGACACAGGCTCAGCCAAAGCCACAGCCACAGGACACGACACAGGCTCAGCCAAAGCCTAAACCACAGGACATGACACAGGCTCAGCCAGAGCTTCACTCACAGTTTCAGCCTCAGTCACCCTCCTATTCAGACACCTACCTATGTAATGTAGATCTGTCTGATCTACTTGATCTGTTCTGATCAGTCACATGCGTTGAGGGTGAGGTTGAAGCGAAACAATTCTCAAAATCCTCCCAAATCCATCTTCTTACAATTGCTTTATATTCTAAATAAAAAATACTTTCATTTTACTTGTTGTTTTATTCTGTCTTTTATTCTAGACTTATGTTATGACAGTGTTATGAAATTTGGACTCTACGTGCTCATTTTCAAATTAATGTTGTTAAACAAAATATTGAAGTGAAATAAACTGAGAATAAAATTCCCAAAACTTTAAGCAGCCATTGTTTGTTTTAATCTGAGCGTTCCACCTTTAGTTCACCTCACACCTTCAGATGACAACAGTCTACACCACACCTAGAAAATGTCTGCCTTAACACAGCTGACACAATAAAACACATATGTTTAATATAATATATCAGTATTTTCTCATATTTAGCATATTTTAGGTTTAACCCACTGTTTTCTTTTCCCATTTTGCTGCACAGAATGGGATTCGGTGCTACTGCTACCATCGTTGGGGAGATATATCATCAGGAGGAAAAGCGCTGCAGAGAGTGCATCACAAGGAGTGAAGTTGCGTCTTCTTTTCCTCGCAGATGACGGTTCAGGTTCATTCTCTCCTGTTGCATGGTAAGTGTGGTCCATTCGCAAACTTTATAACTAAAAAAACTTTTCACTACTCTGTATCGACGAACTTCTAACACTCTCTGCTGTTTCCTCCTCCTTCTTCCTTCCTTCCGCTGTCTTCGTTGGTTTATTTATACATGCAAAATGCGTTCTCTGGCTGGCTGGATTGTCCGCTCGGGCTGCCGTACATACATGGCGGCGCAAGATGGCGACCTCTCTAAAGCAAGGCCCTTGCTATATATATATATAAAAGCATAATTATAAGGCTACGGAAACCAAACGAATTTTATTTTATAGTGATTATACACTCATATAAACATATTAACAGGTAGAATATTCAGATTCAGATTCAGTGACAGTAAACCATGCCAAATATTACACACTGGCCCTTTAAGAGCAGAGCTGTCTCTGAAGTTGCAGAGTTATAGAGTTATAATGTATGCTCAGTTTAGTCAAGCTTAGTAACAATTAGGATCCTCAACTCTCACTGTTGAGTCACAAGGAATAGTTTTGTCATTTTAAATCATGAGGCAGATAGATAGTTCTAGGATGAGATTTTCACTCACATCCCTTTACATTTAGCTAAAGGGCAAAGATTTAAAATTTAAATTCACTGTTAGTATGTTTTCATTTGTTTCATAGATTTTCTATAGATTGGTGGTTTCAAACATTTTCTTGTGGCCTGTTGTTACATGAATCATGCAGTTTGTAAGTTCAATTGAAGAGTAATTTTCCCTTTTCAGATTTTTCCATTTGACTAGTAATCTTAAGTGCATTAAGTGAGGAAATTATAGCTTATAGTGTTTGACAAAACAAGGCAAAACTTTGAACAGATGTTTGAATAATAGACTACACTGTACTGCAGAGCTTCGTTTGTCCTTCCTTCCTGTTCTGCCAATAATTTGTGTGTTACGATACATTCCTTGTATACTCTTTCTACTCCTGTATCTGCTTCAAAAAATGTAAGTTATTTTAATCCTACTACTTTCTATTCTTTTGTTTGCTCTGCTATTTACAGAAGCCCAACAATGGCAAATGTGATTTTATTACTATTTTTACACATATTTTATATGTGACTTTAGTCAGAGTATTTTTTAACTTTTTTTCTTGCAAATGTATGACTTTATAATCTAAGAGAAAGTTCTGTGTTTTTTATTGGACTATTGTGCATGTAAGATCAGTCTGATCTTAATTGTTTTATTTCATCTGTGAAAATGGCAAAAAAGGAAAGTTTTGGCAGGTGAATTTATTTATTTATTTTTTAAAGTGTTTCTTGTTGTCATACTTATGTCGGCCACACGAGGCATAAATGGCTAAATGCATTCATATTTTCTTTCAGGTGAGTTTTAATCTCTCCAAACAGTCTAAACACAAGGTACATATGTGTACCTTATGTATCATTACTCTACAAAAACCCAATTGCTCCAAAACAGACATGCTAAATTACAAGGCACACTAATCGGTGATGATATTATTGGTTGCTAAGCTTTCAGTTGCACCTACTTGGCCAGTAGGTCCATGAGATACCCAGGGGTGCTGGGGTCAGGTCTGAGGGGAGGACCCATGACGAAGCCAGCGGCATGGGCCCATTCCTGGTGCCAGTAGTGAGTACCGTCAATGCCCAAACCAGCTGCAATAGGCTCCCCGAATACCACGTGCCCTATAGAGAGTGAGCAAAAAAAAAAAATTCTTTTTTCAGAGGTCACATGCTGACACCAAAGTAAGTTCCACCTGCTGAAGAAGACTGCAGGATATGAGTGAACCTTGGGTTTAGAATCTTAATCACTTTTAACAGACTTTTCCACCATGACAACAAAAGAAATCCCATGGAGACATTGATTAATTGACCTTGTCACTTTTTTAATTAAAAGAAAAGACACTGAATACCAGGATCAAATATTAACACTGATATTGGTTCTGTCCTTTAAAAGGCCATGTAGGGCCATCATTTCCCGACCTTGCCATATTTCAACAGCAGGGGGCAGCAAGCCCACACTCACCATCTCTGCGTGCATTGGACAACACCTTGGCAGCAGATTTGCTCATGACATGCACCACATACAGGGGGCAGTTGACCGCACTGGCGATGGTGATGGCTCGCTGGGTGGCTTCGGCCTCCACCTCCTCCGGCCGACACATCTCATGGCCCTCTGGCCCTGTGATGCCCAGGGACAGCATCTTCTTAGCCCCCTGTCGAGTCCCAGCGGGGACAGGAACAACAAGGAGAGCAGAAAGGTTAAAGGAGATGGAGGGATAACAACAGCACAGTATCTGTCCAGGCAGAGACGAACACAATATAACTAACACAGCTGTAACTGAACTAACATCAACTAATAAAGTCAGTGCAGTGCATTAAAACATGTTGAACCTTATGTGTTGAAATTGGCTTTACTTACTTACTGCTTGTCGTCCCACAGACCCCAACAGTGTATATGTATATAAGATAATAATTGCAAAATTGTTATCCCCCCTTTTCTTCTAATCTTTTTAAAGTGCATTTGTAGACAGGTATTAAAGTGGTGACCCTTCCTTTTGTCACCAACTGGATTTGCACATATGGTGAAATTGACAACATATGGAAATGACAATAAAGCAACAAGTAAGGGAATATTTTGTGTTTTATATGTCATATGTGCTATGCATGAACAAATACATATCAATTTTGTTTGACAAAAAGTAATTCATAGACAAAGAAATGTACAGTATGAGTATCTGTTCAATAAAAGCAATCTTAATAGTTATTTTGGATTTTAGGGGGAGCAGTGCTACATCAAATATACAGCCAGCACCAATCACAGATGAAGAATTATCAAAATGCACTGTATTTAATGATGTTGTACAGCTAGAGAGCCCAAACAAAAGTTATTTATGTTTTTTCTGGAGACTTCTGAAATGTCATCAGTTCATGAAGTACCATGCTGTAATCATGTGTTCTCCACCACTACAGACCCACATTTCACATCTTTGACATTTGCTGCTTCCTAGTGGTGAACTGTTGTCATGACATTTAAAAAAAATGAATTGGAAAATACAAACACATTTCTGAGAAATAATTGGCCATTTTGACATGTCACAACAAAAAGGAGGCTCTGGAGCCAGCACATCTAAATGAAACAGCACATCTAATTACACTGGTGCTTTTTTGGAAACACCATCTCAAACTACCTTTGGAGAAAAGGGCTCTTGATTCTTGCGACAGTCCTGAACTCTTCTGGTTAAACATTTTCTGCAAGTAATAATGGACAGAGCAAAGGCTGCTTTGGGTATTTCATCACTTTACTTTGCTTCACATTTGCTGTCATTATTACCACAGACAGCATCAATAGACCTTGAACCACCTGGAACATGTAGTGACCCCTGGTTCAGTCAACATGTTTCTTAATTCAGATTTTTCAGAAATTACAAAATGCAATTTCTGCATTTCTGTTACAGAATACCACTGAATTTTTATTACTATTACTGCCACAATGTCTCGTCCTATGTGACACTTAATTGTATCTTGCATTAAGACACACATAGCTACCATCAGAGTTAAACATTAACCCATCAATATTTCTGGACTGTGGTGTGTTTACTCATACATTTTATTTATATGACCTGACTTTACTTCAGTGTTCCTGATAAAGAGGACAGCAACACAAATGCCTCTCTAGGCATGGGGTGATTAGGACTGATGAGCTGACTGAGTTCTTTTTCATGCATTCATTTCTATCAAATTCTTAATATTAACCATATTGCTTTAGCTAAGAATGGGAACACAAATGGAAACTATTACTATTATGGGTGAATGTGAATAGTTTTAAGTTACTACAGTATTTGTTAGACTCTGTACTAACACATTATTTGCACTATAAACAGACATACTTCACTCTAGTTAATAAACAGATTATCACATTAGCTCCTACTAACCTCTGCAATCAGGTCTCCATTCTCAGCGTGCACCTGAGCTATAGCGCCGATCTCCTTACACTGGGAGAAGGCAGTGTATAAATCACAGTCCTGCAGCATGAACACACCTTTATAGACCATAAACATCTTAAAGGAATTGACCCCCTTCTCTTTGGCCAGTGTCTCCATCTCTTCTTTGACCTAAAGGAAAAAATAGTTTGGAGACATGCATGGAGGAATAGATGAGTATCTTTGATTCTCATGCGCAGTATCCCTCTGTAAAAACAGGATTTTTTTATTCTAAACAGACATTTGTGTGTGGTGCAATTTTTATTTGGAATTGGCAAACATACTCATAAGCTGACGCTTTGGCAAAATGAGCTGTGTTTGTCTAAATGATGTGCTAATTCACCTTGTCACTCCACCATGTGACAGCGACATGCAGCGAGTAGTCGCAGCAGACTTTGGGGTCAGCTTTCTTCCGCCAGCAGTTGTAGGCCTCCAAGAGTGACTTGCTTTTTTGGGGGATGACAAAGTCCATAATCATTGTGGTCCCTCCTGCCAGAGCGGCCTGACAAAAGACAAACATTACCACACAGAGTCAGGTTAAAATTGACCTTAGTTAACCCTGCAACATACAGCACCTACCATGTATGTGAAGCCTATAGCGCTTGGTCTTTGCCAGGCATTTGTTCAGAATGCTCACTAATATTGAGACTGTAGTGTACAGTGTTGTTCAGTCAGTGCTGGTGAGAATATGCTGCTACATATTTGTTATGTTTCCCTTTGCCACATCATGACATTTTGCAGTGCTGTGACTGATGCATTCAGACAGAGACTCTCTGGCCTCTGTTAGTTGCTTCATGTCGCCCTGACACCTCAATTATAACACTTCTGACTGTCGCACTACTAATAAAGCTGACACAAACTGCTAATTTGTATTTGATTTATTATGACTCAGTTGTAAAACAGCCTGTTAAACTGCACTATACGAGGTGTAGACAAAATAACATACAGGAGGAACTCTGGTGCAAAGTAATATGTTTTGATGAGGTTCTTTGTTCAAAAATACATTTCTACACTTTTCGGATTCTGTGTGTGCGCCCTGTCCTTAAATCCCTGCCATAAATCTAAGTTAAGTCCAACAAGTTCAAAATATACTTCTGGTCAAACCCTTCAAAATAAAACTCCAGCATATACAAATACAAAATAATGAATTACAAATACTACAAATGGGGCATCAGTAAAGCAAATTGAATACACTGCAAATTCTTACACACCCAAGTTCATTACATTAATTTCTATGGCAGTGTGGAAAGTGGTAATGCCTTAACATGCATAGTATCATTTAAATTAACATGTAGGCTACTGACCACAAAAGACTAAACATAAGTCACAAAACCTATGAAAAGGGGCAGAACAACTCCAAAGGGACACAAAACGACTAAAAAGTAACACAAAATGATTACAAAGGGACATTCAACAGCCACAAGGAGATGAAAAATGAAAAACACATAAAACAACTAAAAGGAAACACAAAATGACTACAAAGAGACACAGAACATCTAAAAGAGACACAAAAATACCCCAAGGAGACACAAAATGATCAAAACCACAATCTGACTAGAAATAGAAGCAAAAGCGCCACAAAGTCTGTGTCTTGCTCCTATACGTAAGAGAGGTGGTGGGGCCCTTTGCATATCTGTATATCTGCCCAGGGACCCACTGTCTGATGATCCTCATGACTGCACCTTAGTACACTGCTGACGTTCTTTTCCTTGAATATCTCTTGTCTCCATCTTCTACTCTTCAATTCAGGGGCAAATATTGCGCTCCTCTAAATTTATTTGATAACTTTGGATGCTGACTAATTTGCAGAATCAGACTGACAATAGAAAATATGGTCACCAAATTAAAAAAAAATATTATGTGTTAGTTAACACTGTATTTGCAGGAATGTGCGCAAGACTGACATGATACTGGTATAATTATGACATCACATCCTGCCATGAACATGACTAATCTTAATCACAGAGTATTTTTAAACTATAGTATTACTATTTGCACTCAAAGCTTTTGATGAAGTACTTTTGGTAGCTTGTGCTGCCAGTTTATTCTAATGTGACACAAGCAGCCAATGCAAGGTGGTGATGATGAGGAGGAGGAGGATGAATATGATGCCTCTGCTATTTTAAGTAGACTCGGCTTTGTAACTTGAAATAAATTAATAATATAAATAAATAATTTAATTAATTTAACTTCGGTTATTATTCTGTTTGTCTCAGTCTAACTTGACGCACTTGAATGCGTCTGGAGCCAGTCACTTTCTGTCTGCTGCAAATCAAATATAGTCACCTTGGTACCGATATAGAAGTCGTCCACAGCTGTGGTGCCCATGAATTCAAACTCCATGTGTGTGTGCGTGTCGATGCCGCCGGGGATGACCAGTTTATCGGTGGCATCGATGACTCGCACTCCCGCTGGGATCTGAAGATTCAGCCCAACTTCTACTATTTTCCCATTTTCAATGTAGACGTCGCTGATCACGGAGCAGTCTTCATTCACAACTTTACCTCCTTTTATCAAGATCCCGCTGGGCTCTGCCATCCCTGTTGTGCACAACTGAGAGACTGTTTCAAGTCAATTAAAGAAAAGAAGCCAGAGTTTGTGCAGACTGGAGAGAAGTGACTGCAGCGGTCTGACACTCGTCTGTGTGTGCAGTAAGTGTGTTCAGAAACTTAACCATGTGGGTCAGTTCCAAAGTCCATGTGAGGACCTCATCCACAGATAGGCATTCAGGATTATTCAACTCCTGACCACTGTTGCCAACTCCTCAGTAAGAAAAGTAGCTATTGGCTGTCCTAAAAGTCGCTAGAACTCGCTAAATGACGTCATCGCCTAATTTGCATAATTGTCCATATGCATGTAATTGTAATGGCTGCTGTAGGAGAGAGGAATAACATTGTGGGAGAGACAAAAACTGAGTAAAAAAACACCCTGAATATGTTTAGAACTACAAATGAACCTTTTTTCAGTGATTTATATTAGACAAAGAAAATTTTACATTTACATCCCGCCCTGACTGTAAACCAGGTTGGGATCAGAGCGATAGATCAGCCAGCGGCGGTTCCGCGCATGTGCGACTCACTTGCAGTCTGGACGTGGAGGGGTTAACGTCTCCTGCTCTGACTGCTGCTGGGAGGGAGGACTGGGCCGTCTGTGAGTGCTTTGGGGCGAGAGAGGAGCTCACGGCAGCATCCGCTGCCCGTTGAGAAGACTAAGAATGATACGTGCTCTCACAACAGAGTCTCCAGAAGTCTTCAATAACATCAGAAAAAGTCGCTAGATTTGTCGCTAGTCGCTTTTTTGAAAAAGAGTCGCTAGAGGGGTCTGAAAAGTCGCAAAATATAGCGACAAAGTCGCTAAGTTGGCAACACTGCTCCTGACACTAAAAGGAAAGGAAAAGAAAACGGTGTCCTTTTTCAGACCCCGCTCTGTTACACAATAACAATGGGGTTGTATTTAACTCAAAGGTCCGCCCGCTTCATCATGGTTTGGGTCATATTACTTTGAAATGTAGTCAGTTGCTGAATACAGTTTACATAGGGATTTCTAGTTATGTAATGCATTGGACTACAAAAAAAAATGTAATAATCTCAATGTTTTTGGATTTCTTCAAACTCAAACATTGGAAATATTGCACCTTGTCCAAAAAGAAAATGGACGCAGGCACAAAAATCTGAGCTCCACAAAAACTCCCTTTTCCTCTTAAAACATCTCAAACGTTTCCAGTGCAAATAAAATGCATTTTACATACTCACGACTTACAGTTGTTAACCCTTATTAAAGGAACACATCAACCACATAATGACCAATATCAGTTACTCACCCTGTGTTACTTTGAATTGGTGAGGAAAACTTCATTTTCGTGCATGCAGTGAATGAAGAATCCACAAAGGCAATTATTCTTCATGAATTGAAGTAAACTGGGTCCACACATTACAACAGCAATGTAATGTTCTCTTTAGCTGTTAGTGTGTTTGTGTTAATTTCCTGTTTTATTTTGAAATCCTGTTGTTTTTGGTTGATGTCTAGTTTTACTTCCTGTCTATGTTCTTTTCCCGCCTTTTGATCACTCACCTGTGACTGATTTTTAATCACCTTCACCTGTGTATATATACCATGCGTTTTCATCAGCCCTCTGCCAGATTACCATTGTCTCCCAGTGTGTTCATGCTTTCCAGCCCTGTGGATCTAGTTTTGTTTGCCTGTTTTTTTGGACTTTGAAGACTTTTGGAATGTTACTCTTGGAATTGCCTTCCTTTGGATTCTGCTTGAATTTTTGAGTAAAGAACTTTGACTTTCTGCATTTTTTTGTCCTGGGTTTTTTTTTCTCTGCATCTGAGTCTTTTCTTCTGAAACGTGTCAGCAAAACTATTTCAAAACATCTGTTAACAACCTCTCTTACAACTCCAGCAATATCATCCAAGTCTGACTTAATCAGTCCTATCCTCAGTACTTCCCAAACACATGTATTATTTGCTATGATAGTGACTTGTCTTAGGAACCCCATGTGCTAATGCGATGCTGCAAGACTGCTTTGAGTCCACAGACTGGGACTTGCTCTGTGAGCCGCATGGGAAGGACATCAACAGCGTGACTGACTGCTTCAGAGAATACATCAAATTCTGTGACAACACCACCCTGCCAACCCGGACTGTGCGCTGCTTTCCCAACAACAAGCTGTGGATCATCAGCAACCTGAAAGTATTTCTTAATAATAATAAGAAAGCCTTCGGGTCTTGGGACAGGGAAGAACTGAGGAGGACCACAGCGTGATCTGAGGAGGAAGCTGAGAGAGAGCAGGGACTCCTACAGGAGGAAGCTGGAGGCCAAGCTCCCACAGAAAAATGTGAGGGATGTGGGGACTGGAATGAAGGAGATTAGGCTTGTGCTGATTTCCAGTTTAACCGGTTCGGTCCGGTTTAATTTAATTTTAATTTAATTTTTTTTTAAAATTTGATATACTTTGTTAATCCCTCTGAGGGGAAATTCAATGTTTTCACTCTTGCTGTCAATTACACACAGGTCCGAAATACACACATGCACAAACAGGACCTATACATGCACAAAGTGGAGAGATGTCAGAGTGAGGGGGCTGCCTTGATCAGGCGCCCCGAGCGGTTGGGGCGTTCGGTGCCTTGCTCAAGGGCACCTCGGCAGTGCCCCGGTTTAAGAGCTCCACCTGGTTTAATTCACGTCAACTGGATAAACCGGAGGAGAGAGGAAAAAAAAAAGGTTTTTCACATCAGTGGCGTGTCAAGGGACTATATTCAACTTATCTTGCATTGTAACATGCATTATGACAACTTAATAAGGTTTATGTTTGTTTATAAATGAAGTGGAGGAGCCTACAAGTGTTTTGTTTAGTTTGTCTCAGAGGCTTCAGAGGGACTCCACAGCTCCGCTCAGCTGTCTGCTGCTGCTGCGAGAGATCAAATTTCACTGGGGGCGGGGAAAAGTGCGAAGGAGTCAGCAGTCATTCAGTTTGTTGCCCTAGTAACCCGTTTCCACTGAAGAAGTTCCTGGTACTATTTGGGGGGCTGGAACTACTACAGGAACGTCCTCTCGCTCGGCCCTCTCAACCGCCGTGTCTCCACTGAGAGAGCGGAGTTGGAGGAAGGTTCCTTGGTGTCCTTCTGCGTCTTCTTCTTCTTGTGTAACCTTGTGTGTATTGGCGGTTAATACAGCATTACCGCCACCTAGTGGATAGGCCCTGTTTAGACGACAACGGTTTCTCTAAAAACTGAAAAGTCTGTCCTTTGTGTTTTAAAAAACTTCTGCGTTTATATGACTACGTTATTGAAATGATCTCTGTTCACACGGAGCCGCAAAATCTACTGGAAACGCTGTAGTATGCACGCCAGGTCAATGGGTGGCAGTGTAAAATTGCAAAGCAACACCACAGCATGATGGCATGATGGCATGACGCCATGCGCCTGCGCTGAAGCGCCTTCCTCCACAACACGGTGATTACAAACCAAAACAAAGAAGACACACTGGGAAAAGCATGCACAGATAACTTTGTCTGGATGGACGACGAAGTGGAGTTGCTACAGTAACAGATCTACACTTCACTTCAAATCAACAGGGTGAGCAGCACAAACAGAGCTCAGCATTGTTGTTGTTACGGTCAACTTTCTTGCGCATGCCTAGTGACTGTAACCGTAATGCGCATGTGCGAAAAGTCTCCGTTTTCAGAGGAACTGCATATTGCAAGTTTAAATGACAATGGAGATACTGCCCTTTCCAAAAAGTTGCACTCTGGAACCTGTTTTCAAATCTCAACTAAAGTTTAACGTTTTCAGTTGAAATTGTTGTCGTATAAACGGGACCTTAGTTCACAGCCCTCTGCTGGCTCCTCCACCACCACCCATGCACACCCAGACCTCCACACACCCTCTCTACCACCAATGCTTCCCCCACTCCCGTCCTCAACAACCCCTCAACCCCCAAGCTCTCTGAAGATTATCTCGCTGAACAAAACCTGTAAGTATCATAAACTTGTGTTAGCCACAGAGCTTATTTTCTGACATAATCCAAAACGCAATGCAAAAATCACATTCACTTTCTCTTCCGGGAACCAGCGCGATGCTTTTGACGTCAGACCTGGCACACTGTATAGACTGAATAAACTCATTAAGAAGGCTGGCTCTGTGATTGGCTGCAAACCGGACTCATTTGGAGCAGTGGTGGAAGGAAGGACATTGAACAAACTGTTATCCATCATGGATAATCCTGACCACCCTCTTCACCACCAACTGGACAGACAGTGGAGCTCTTTCTCCAACAGACTGATACAGCTTCGATGTCTCAAGAACTGATACAGAAAGTCATTCCTTCCCCAAGCCAAAATGCTATATATTACCTCACCTCTGTCTGACAGAGAGCACCCAGAGCTCTCTACAGTCGGTCCTCTATAGCTTAATAGTTACAATAATTTGTTTGCACTGCTGGTCATAACTTATTGCACACTATTACTTATTGCACAGCTATTTTGCATATTTTTACTACCTCACTTCTCACTGTGTTGTGTATATAATTGATCTTCTTTGTCTTACTTATATTTTTATTTTATTCCTGTGTATTTCTCTTGTATATCTTAAATTTTAGTCATCCCAATTTCATGTAATCTGTAACTGCTCAACCCTGTAGCACTCTGGCAGCTGCAACACATATCTTCTGAGCAGTTTCCTCCATCCAGCCAGTTGTTCAGTAAAAAGTAATACACTTAACTAGATATAAGTGCCATCAACATGTAGGCTAACACAATGGAAGTTATTCCCAGACTGGGCAAATTATTTTCTGGTGTTCTTCACTGAACCCTTTTTCCTTCTGTTCTGCATCTTGTTGCAAGTGTACTGTGTGCCCTTCAAGTACCCATCATGTACAATGCACACAGCACACTACACACAAAGAACCCTTAACCGACACCTGTAGTGTAACCTTATCACTGCTGGGAGGAGAAACGGTAGGACTTTACCTGTTTTTGTTGTTTACACTTGGAATAAGCTTGCTTAGGTCTTTCTGCCTGAAATCCTTTTCTACCAAAATTTTTTCCCCTAGTTTTAATCAAGACATTCCTTTCTGGCAGACAGCCCTCTGGGCAAACTTCTCGCAGCAGGGCTGTTACCAGAGTGTGGACTAAAAACAAAAAGGATTTTCTTTAGTAGAGCTGAAGATACAGTTGGGCAGTTGTCATTTAAAAGCATATTTCAGCCAAGATGCTGCGGCATGTTAA